GCGGGATCCCCTCGCAGCCTGCCCTACAGCATCGCGCGCGCATTGCTGACGGCGTCAGAAGGGGTCGAGCGGTTGATTTTTACGCGTTTGCGATCTTGCCATTCCCCCGATCTCGATCCCAGCGAGACCATCAACAGCGCTCTCTGTCCTTTTGTCATCTTGGCGTACATTCTTTCACAGTCCTGGCGAATCAGCCAAGAACAGTGTGTGGGGTTTCCATATCTTATGTTGGACCCTAAACGTCGGATCCCTCTCATGATGGAATTTCTTGAACAGCAAACTCCCGCTGATCAAGGAAAACGAGGGCAAGTTCTCGGAGGCGATGGGTCGGCCCCGCCAATACAGAAAAAGTTAGAGCCTCGGCCATCGGTACTTGGGGCTGAAAAGCGGTTGCCCGCATCTTCTGGAAATACTGCTGTGGAGCCTAAATCAGGATGGGGCGTGACGCTTCAAAATGCATGGAGTATGTTAGTACGGATCTCAACCGATAATAATTATATAGAGGACAAAGGCACACCACTAACGGAGTGTAATCCCATATATGTTAACAGAACTATAATAGACTCAAAAATGTAGTGTATGCAAATGAAATTAAAGAGCAATATGGATTATTATATATAGCATGGTAGTTTTTTCTCTTCTTTGTATTTAGATCATCGAATCAACGATTCTGCATATTTCATCGTCTTTAATATTTGTATCAGTTGTTTATTGTTTCCCTATCGTGTGCCGAGATTCCAAGGGTATATATATATTTTTTCCATCCACATGATCTTTGATATCAAAGGTTAAGATTTAGGAAAATATCTCTTTTGTTAAAACATCATCTCGATTTTGAGCTCTCTCGTAGGATTATTCCTAATCTTTTTGATTTTTTTTTCATGTTGTAAATACTATTACTATTTTCCATCCCTTTTCTACCATCTTCTTCATTCAAATGTATCTTTTAGTTTTCTTCAATATTATTAATAATATTTAGAGATGCTTTCTTTAGAACGCCCGATCATATTGCGTGCTGTTAAAGCAAGCAGTGCGGTTGTTGCAGCTTTTTTAGCATACCAAACCTTTTGTTTATATAGACGTAATAACATTACGGTACGAATCACGGAGCTTGTGAGGCTTCCTCCACAAGGACGGATCGATGGCAATCCAAACGGTGCCGATTTTATCCACAACAACCCTACCATCGAGTTGAAGGGTAGTATCGAAGTGGAGACATATTTGATGCGAAGCTATCGATTCCTTCTTAAACTATCCGCCCAACTAAATGGCGCCACTTTAGGCTGCGGTACCTACAATGGGGGCGATGAAAACGTGTGCAAGCGTTCGATTCAACGGCGGGTGTTGTCCTTCGCAACGGCATACAACAACACAAATATTAACACAGCTAATGATATGGTCAATATGGGTAACTTGTCAATTAGCAATAGCCTGATATCGCAGTCATATAATAAAGGAAGTGTGTATTCTTCGTCACGTACCTCTGCAAAGCCAAAAGGCCCTATGATTGAGATAAAGTATGTCAATGAGATGGTAGACCAGAATGAGGTGTTGGTGAATGAAAACATCTGCTTCACACCTGCGTGTTTGTCTGAGGAAATACTTATGAAATACACAATGACGATTTCTAGCGCATACTTGCTGAACAGTCAACCGGCCTTGAGCTCTACGGCAGGTGATACAACTGATCCATTTAATACCAAAAGTATGTCGCCACAGAGCTTTAGTAATCTTCTCATACAGAATGCCTTTTTGCGACCTGGTAATCCTGGAAACTACTGCATTAGCTTCGATTTAATGGTCTTTCAGCCCCTACACGAACTAAGGCTGTTGATACGGTTACCAAATCATCACTGCCGACTCGTCCGTTCGGATACGGGGGGTATTGGGCGAGTGACATTCGCCGAGGGAAAAACGAAGCCGCACCTCCTAATTTGGGAAATCGGAGGCGTGGATGCTCACATTCACAATGATGACAAAAAGGTTTCAAATGTCGAGAAGGGGTGTGATGATGAGACACTCTCACAAGCAGCTCTTTCAGTTGGCGGTGGCGACGATGTGGTTCATGGTCTGTCTTCTTTTGCATTTCTGTCGGTTCACTTTGAACTTGTCTATAGGCATCTAGAAGAAAGCGAATATTTCTATTACGATAACGAGGGGAGGGAGGATAGTGATAGCAATATTGACTCCGACAATATTGATTTCTTTAGCAGTGATACAAGCAGCACAAATGATGAAGATGCCAGAGAGACGGATCTGATAGAAGGCCAAATGAACGCGACAGGGGTCTATTCCGGTAGCAAATATGGATCAGAAAGTAGAAACAGCAGACGACGAGGTTATCGAAAGAGCTCCTTTGGAAAAAAGCCACATTCGAACGGTACCCCAAGCCCTACAAACCATAGTGATAAGGCGCGCAAACGCAAGGCCCTTGCATCGAAAAAAAACCTGGATATCAGCATAGGAGTACGATATCAACATCGTCAAGTCTGGGGGTTCCCAAGAATCACCCGACTCTGGAAGCAACCTACAGCGTAACCGGGTTAGCTTCTGGAGTGAATGTGCGTAGGCTGCAAGTGCTTAGCGAAAAGATCAACTGGACGCCGCGCTCGTTGATAGATCGCGTTTTGCTTCGATACATTCTTCCAGACTTGCAGACAATCAAGCTAAATAAATTTGCACATTATACAACGTGGTTTGTCCAGCCGATTATACTTACAGAATGGAATATGTAGGGGATATTTTACTCTTATATTTTCTTTAGATAGGTTGCGGTTTAAATGCTCCTTGCTAATATATATATATATATATTTACAAACATTATCAAATTTCAATTAATAGTGGCAACAAGTTTTATGCTTAAACATTCTTTAAAGGATTTTATTTATTTCTTTGAAATCCTTTTTAATAGGGTTTAGAAATCTGTGACAAGGGCGATGTAAGGGTGCGTCATCGTTTGCTTTGCCATCTTCAGATTCTCCTGAATAGTATCAAAATCTATAGTGTCTATTTACCAAGTGTGCTGATTGGAGTATTTCAGTTTTCTCTTTATATGATCCCTCTTTTTTTTTCTTTACTTCATGACTTTTTTCGAGTTAATCCACTTACCATAGAAGTGGGAGTACATGCGGTTGAACTACACACGTCAATCCTCCACATACGCGGTAGAAGGAAAAAGGGTAGTTATTGTGGCTTAAGAGTAAAATGTCAGGCTCTGATTGTTCCACTAGTGAAGAGGACTTTGAGCCTGTATTACCAGGGTTTACCTCTAGAGTGGCTGACTACGAGCCTATGTTAAAGCAGCATCGAACCGACGGGGGTGAGGAGGCAGTCGACCAAAAAGATTCATCAATACATCCGACCCCTGCTTCCGAAAAAGTAGCCACTTCGCTCACAGACGACAAGGAGGTTGCGGAGATAACTACGGTGACAGAGGTCGATATCGAGAAGTTGTTGTGGGATTCCTATTCTCAGCATGACCTTCCCACTTCCGAGCTCTACGAACGCAGCTTTCTTCATGACAGTGATGAAGCCGGAACGCAAATAACCCACACAGGGAATGAAGCCGCAGGACCAGCTGCCGGGGCCGGTACAGTAGCCATAAGAGATGTTGCGGCGATGACGGATGCACTCGGGGGCTTGATTTTTTCGATAGATTCCAAGGGAACCATTCGCGTCTGGAGAAAGCTTCCATGTGGCGTGCTTTTTATGGGCAGCTTAGGAAATTTATTTCATTCTGTGATGCCGAAAAAGACCTGTGAAGCGTCGGTGGGTCATTCTACTGACGAGGACGCTCAGACAAGGGATGTGTATCATTACTTTATTCGCACTGACTCTGATATGCAGTGGCTCTTTTTCATCCAAGTCGTCGAACACCACGATTTCTTGGCTTTGTCTCATAAAGACAACAATGCAGTTCCTACCATAGGGATTAGGGTCACCTTACTTTCGGTCAATCCAACAACACTTAGGGTTGAATACCAAAACCAGGCTCGCTTTGAGGTTCCTGCGGTTTGCATGCGCCTCGGGGATATGAAATTGCACTCCACGGGGGAGGGGCAGGGCACGTCTTCTGGGGTGATTGTACCGCAGTATACAAGGCAACCGTTTTTATTACAGCATCAACACGAGCCTCACCTCACCTTTTTCACAAAGCGGATACCTGAGGCGGCGCATCATCTTAACGGAGGGGGTGGCGATGATATTGGTGTTATCTTAATTCCGTGTGCACCTCCCAGAGTGCTCAAAACCGGTGGGGGAGGCCACTGTCAGGTTTATATGCCTGCTAAAATAAGCGTTGCGAATCTTATAAGCTGCTGTGCGCAGCAGCGGCATCCTCCAGCAAGTGGGCGAAGTGGGGGTCCAGGAGCCTCCGGAAGCTACCCTGTTGTTTTGGTGGATGACCGCGGCATTATCGACTACGCCGTAATTTCCGAGGTGAGCAATACCGATGATGAAGTATTGAGGAGTTATGAAGGTACTGCTCACGCTAAACTCACACTTAAGATTATTGGTGGTTTGTCGATGGGGCGCGCGGCAGGGCCAAATTCTCCGGATGCAAGTCTGGCAAAACGATGGGTTAACTTTGATAGTCGTCAGCGCACAAATTTTTTTGCGCTCTTGCGCGACGCACAAGCCCACAGGAAGAAAAAGATAGCGGAATGCACGGCTGAAGCTTCCATTAAAGTTGGCGAAAAGCCGAACAGTGGGGAAAAGGTCAAAGACAGTATCGTCACCGTAGGCGTAATGCCCTTAAAAGTAGAACTGATCTCCAATGGCAGGTATTTTGTGATTCTCAGCGTTCGCTGGACTGCGGTGCCCATCGCCGCGTTTGCCACTAACAACTTGGGGTCAACCCCAATCCTACCGAAGTGGTATCGAATCGAATTCGAGCAGTGTCTTCATATTTTTCATTTTGCCACCGGTATTTGTGCTGGTAGACATAGCCAATGGGTTTGTGCGGCGCGTTTAATCTTAGGCTCCGATCCTCAATCTGGACTCGTACCATATATGGATGCCCTTACACACCAATCGGCGATGGAGCTTAGTGTAGTGGACTCCCCGAATGCCTTTTTGGCTCCCGAAGGATGGACCGCTGGGGCGAACACGCACACGTGCCCCTCTGTGAAGTTTAACCACACACCAACAATGGCTCCCTGCGTTTACCTATGGGTGCCGGAATTCTTTTTGCCCAACCTCATGGGCCTGTTTGATGAGATAGCGCCGGATCAAAGGGTGACGATTGGTCAGAAAACCCACACCATGGAGAATAGGATCTACGGGCGGCAAGTGGGGATATTTCAAGCATCTTTTTACCGCACCCAGGCTATGTCCGCATCGCGATCGGCGGTGATGGCGCGTATTATTCGCCTACCTCGGGGCATTGGCGAATTGGAGTGCGCCATACGTGATGCGGGACCCGGAACACGCGCTACCCCTGAGGTGGCGTCTGGCCTCGTTGACTGTGAACTCAGTGAAAGGCTCCTCAGGACAGGGACAGGGGGCTTTCACGCCCCCTGCGTCCTTCTTCGCAGGGCGGTGGCCCCATCACAGGACCTGAAGAATCTTCTAATTCAGTCCCATGTCGGCTCGAGGCTCGCGCCGGAGGAAATTAAACGTCTTCTTAGCGCACCAAGTCGGCCGATACCGCAACCCCGCGACGGCGACCAGGTTCAAAGTTTTCAGGAAGAAGAAAGTCCTATGGCCTCGGTGTACCCCCTTTTGATTACGATTTCTTTCCCATCTTTAGTGGCTCCCGCGTCTTCTGTAGGATCGTGCTTGCCAAACGAGGGTTCTGCTTTTGCATTGCTGATTTATACAGCCATGGTGGATCCCGTTATAGTGTATGAACTCAAGCTCGACCTAGCAGACCTTACACGGACATCCAGGACAGAGGCTGACAACGCGACACCTTTAGAGATAAACTTAAAAGGGACTAGTGAGGGACCGCAGTGCGCTGTTCAAGCAACTTTGATCGATGAGCAGACCAGTTCTCAGAGGATTGAGGATCGCTGGCAGGCCGCCCTTCTAAAGCTTCATCGGCAGCGTGACTTTAATTGTGCGGAGCTCCTGGGCAGGCAGAGCGATTCCAATCATCTGTGTAGTAATTCCGTCGAGATCCCGAAGCATTTTACAGAATCATCAAATAGTCTGCTCTTGAAGGATACCGAGCAAGAGGAAACAGACATTGGGAAGGATTTTATGAAAGAGAAGGGGGTTTCCGAAGAACCGTTGGTATGCGATGAGGAAAAAGAAGTGGAAAAACTACAAATGCTACTCAAAGCTACGAGACCTGATCTCCTTCTTGCCAAGGAGCACTCAGATCACGCGGTTTTGAAGAATATATCCCATTTACAGCATGCACTGGTGCATGTCCATGGGTACGGTACTATTTACGTTCGTCTGCTTCCGCAACTTGCACCGCTAGCAGTTGAAAGGCTTTATCGTTTAGCGCTACGTGGGGACTATAATAAGACTCTTTTTCATCGCATCGTTCCAACAGCCATTGTTCAGGGGGGGCACCTTAAACGAAATGAGACCGTCAGAGAAAATGATTTGGAAGGTGAAAAGTTCTCTTCGGATGAAGACGCACTAAGTTTTCCATTCTTTTCACATACACAAAGCTTCGTATGGTTGTGTATGCCCAATATAAAAGAGGGCACAAATGCATCGCAGTTCTTTTTCACGGTGCCAAACGCTCCTGAGATGCAGAGCCTGAACGGCTGTCATACGGTGTTGGGACTTGTCGTTGACGGAAAGGAACTCATTGCGCAGATTAGTCAAACTCCTCTTAACGAAGAAAATGGTATGCCATTGACCGATATCGTTATTGAGCGTGTTGATGTGTTTTAAGGTTACCTAGTCAAGGTCTGCGTCGAACATCGTAAAGTCCTTTACCTCGAACATAATAATTCTAATCATTTTATTGCACAGTATCTGTCATCTGAACTGTTTGAGTGCATTGTATGAAGTTTACTTATTGCAAACCCATAACAGATATTTACCATGGAGCTTTTATGTTTGAAAAATGTACAAGCTGTTTCAATTAAAGTCTTTACTCCCATTTCCTTCTTTTATACTTTGCTCTGTCTATTGCAGAATTTTATTACTTGCAAGACACGATCAAGTATTGTAATATTATCTAAAGGAGTTTCAACTTGATAGTCAGTAATTCACTCCTTGCGTGTATTCCACCAAATTTTATTCTTTATCGAGTAAAGAGTATTACAAATTATATACGTATTAGTAGAATATCAAATAACATTCCTTATGTTTCGACAGGATGAGTTAGTTTGGTTTGGCATGTTTCCCTTTTGTTGCTTGATTATTTTTTGGTTTTCAATCTGTTTCACTCTACTCAAGCGAGTGATTAACGGCCGATATCGTCGTCATTATGCCTTGCACGCCATTGAATCACTTGTGAAGCTCACACCCACCACCCCGATCAATGCGTCTCCAACAAAGAAGATGACGAACCCCAAACTAAAAGACACCCCCGTCAAACCAGAGGATAGTTTCGTCAGGCCTCGACATAACGGGTCCGAGACGCCGGGCCCGAGCCCCGATGCCCTGCGAGAGCCAGCTTTTCCCTACCCCAAACTACCCACCAAAGTTAAGCATGTCGATATTTCAACCTCGCTTCGGGTGGCCACCCGGGCTGTAATTCGGCGCGCTGTTGTTGTTGTGGGCGGCGAGTTCGCGCGCTCACCGCGGATGCAATACCACGCAACCAGCCTTGCCCAAAGCGGGCTTTTTGACGAGATCGTGTTGTTGGGCTTGGAGTGTGGAAATCAACTCAGTGAGGCGCTGCGCAGGTGTGATCAGGCCACACCATGCGTCTTTCCGGCGACCGATGACCCGGATGCGATTTCCCAGGCGGTGCGAAGCCAACTTCAGCCCTACCCCACCCCCGGCCTCGCCGAGGAGGCCGAGGAGGGCTCGGGCGGCGACGATGATCGATGGAAAAATGGGCAATCCCAGCAGGGTGGAGGGTTCAAGCCGCGTAAGTGGGGTTGCTTTATATCCTCTCACTACCTCATTTCCCCACCCCAGCCTCCTGAATTTTTTCAGTTTATATTCCCCCTACGAAGCCTCCACTGGGTGGCTTGCACTCTCTACCGCATTATCGTCTTCACGCTGAAGTATTCCTCTGCGCTGGTTCGTACCACCGCAATCCAGGTTAACGCACACGGGCAGCTGGTCGTGGCGAATGTTATTTTTGTCCAAACCCCACCCGCGATTCCTTTTGTTCCGCTTATTAAGTACATCGTGCGTCCCGTCGTGATGGTGTACAACTTTCTGTTGTATTACTGCATTGTTGTCCCCGCGTCCTGGTCCAACCCCGGCGCGTTGAAGGAAATTTGTGCGTACTGCAGTTTACACACCCGCCTTCGCGCCTTTTGGCCCGCTCTTGTGGTGGATTGGCATAACTACGGCTATACTATCCTCGAATCCGCTCACCGAGGACGCATGGCCTGTGCGGTTTATAAATGGCTCGAACTCCACATTTGTGCGGGGGATCTGAATGTTACTGTAAGCCATGCCATGAGACGGTCGCTTCTGAGCCATATTCCCCATATCCCCTCCGAGGCGAAAGATTCCAAAAAGAAAATCGTTGATAGGGATAAAAGAGCGGTACGGAGTCCTACTCTTAAACGCGGTATGGAAAGCGCCCTTGAAAATCAAGACCACCATCGACCACCTTCATCGTCCGTGGAAGGGAACGTTCTGGTTTTATATGACGTGGCCCCAAGTTTCTTTGCGCCTTCTAATCGCCGCATCTTTCTGGAAGAGGTGCTTTTGCGAACAGCGATCCCGCAGAATTTCTCAGCGCCGCCGATTCGTACGAGTTTGGCAAAATGTATAAGTTCATCTATATCCAATACATCCTTCTTTTCAGAAAAGGATCTAGGTTTAAGCGGTGGCAAGGAAAAAGACACCGCACAGAAGGAGGAGGTGGACTCGGTAATTCGAGATGTAGATAAAGATGTCTGGGGCATCGCACCACCACCGGCATGGGTCCTAAACAGTGCTTTTTTGTCGAATGGCGACGACGATACCCTCCTGCATGGGTGCAGGAGTGATTATGTTATTGGTTATCCTTCTCCCACACCAGTCGGCATGTCCCTCCCGCACCCATCTCCAGAGCCGTCCATCAAGGCCCATCAGCAAAGAGGTATTATTATTATTGCCTCCACGAGCTGGACTGAGGATGATGACTATACCATACTGATCGAAGCCCTTCAGCGACTTGATCATCGTATGCTTCATGCATGTAAATATATCCACGCTACGGCGGAGCACCATGAGGGCTCTGTTGGTACTCCATCTCGGCGAAATGCACCTGAAGTCGCATTGATGGAAGGCTGTTCGCAAAGATATCCTTTGAATCAGCCTGAAAATCTGTATGGCCAAAGCGAAAGCCAAAAACAGGTTTTCGAGCGTAATCCTGTAGCTGATCCTAACTTGGAGAGGGCATCCTGCTCATTTCATCCATTTTCTCAAATATGGATCCTCATCACTGGGAAAGGCTCAACGAGAGGTCGATTTGAGGATGCTGTGCGAGCTGCGAACCTTTCGAAGCATATTACCGTATCGACGTGCTATTTTCAGTCCTACAAGCACTACAGCATTGCACTGGGGGCCGCAGACATTGGTCTCTGTCTTCACTTTTCATCCAGTATGCTTGATTTACCTATGAAGGGGGTTGACATGATTGGCTGCGGGCTTCCCGTGGTGGCGTTAGCCTACCCTGCCATTAGCGAGCTTATGGGGCAGGCTGTCGTGCTCAGTGAGACTTCTTTAGCCGAGAAGCGGGTGCTCACGCCGGTCTCGAAAAACGGCCGAAACTTAGACCCTGTGAAGGGTACAACTGATATGGGTGGATTACTAGAGTGTGAGAGAGGTTGGATTTTCTCATCGGCTGCCGACTTGGAGGTTTTGTTGAGCTTCTTTGTTGGTTTGGACAAACTTAGGAATGACATGCCATTGGAGTTAAAGACTGCAATGAATGCTGTAATGAGCAATCGGATGTTTGCAACGAAAACTGCCAAATTAACTCCTCTGGTCGAAATGCAGCGGCGCGTTCGTGCAGCTGCTGCGCAGCGTCCGACATGGGAAGATAACTGGAATCAAACTCTTGGCAATGTTATCAGTGAATTTTTTTGATGAGTTATATAAACCATCACGAAGGAGAACCTTAAAAAAAAATCAACAACTATTGACTTAAGTGAAATGTCCTTTTGGAGCTAAAAAATTCCAACAACTAACTATATATATATATATTTATTTTAAAACTTCTCCTCTTCTGAAAATTTTGTTCATATTCGAGTTTTTTAAAATAACAATTCTGTTGAAATAATGCTATCCTTGATAATATATCACAAAAGAAAATAAACAGTGTCATTTTTTTTTATTTCATGTTATTGTGAGTTGATATAGAAGATATAACGTTCACTATTAGTATAAATAAATTTATTTATTTATTTATTTATACAAATGTGTAAAAATTATCCAAGAAAATGGACATCTCACTGTTTTTTAAAAGGAAACTTTCGTCAAAGAGTCCTTTTCTGCAATGGATGCATCCCTTCTCGAGTTTGCATGGTAGTCATTCCACTATATCGATCTCAAGCTTTTTTTTGCACAACTGATCGACTATGGCTTTCTCATAGACCCCCTGAAAATTTCGGTGGACGATTGAGAGGTCGGAATCATCACCATTATCATCAGGAAAGCAAACAGGCCGGTAGAAAAGCAGCGTTGGAGTCGCCGTTGTACTATCCTTCGGGGTCACAAAAAGGTGTCGAAAAGGGCACTGATACTTGTGAGGGACACGATAAAGGACCTATTCCCGGAACGGATGGTTTTTGCTCATCGTTTAATTATCGGGAAAAAGGAGGTACTCGTGTACCGTATAACATGGGAAGCCGCAAAAGCTTTCGCGATTCAGTACAAAAGGCCTCCCTCCAAATCTTACCTACAAGTTTCTCTGTGATGCCGGACTCATTTTTGGCCTACCGTACGCTCCTGCGCAAGGGCTGTGTGACGCATATCATGGAGTTGGTTATCTCTCCCTACGCCCCAGGGCCACTGTGTGTGGTTCATGAGGTATTGGATGAAATATTAACCATAAAAGAAGAACTACAATGCTCATTACAGCCGTCTTTCACTAATGCGCTTAAAATCAGTGGCATTCGGAGCGACGACGCAGCTCGCAAAGTGGAATGTGAGGGAAGGTCGGAATTCGACAAAAATTTAGAAAGTTCAAACAAAACGGTAAGCGCGTCTGATAACGATGCACTTATTCACGCTTTGCCTTTCACTTGCCTTGATACCTCTAATGGCGAAAAAGAGAATGTCTTTCTTCAAGATGAGTTCTTAGAGCGCATTTCATCTCTTGAACGACTAGAAACTACTATGAGTCGTTCAGTGGATCTTCGTGAGGTACTGCAGAAAGTTGAACTCAGTGTCCAGGAAGTGGTAAAGGGCAACGATACCATCGGAGACCGAAGTAGTGACCTTGATCTTCAGACGACTATTCATGAGGTCGAGCGTTTTGCTAGTCACATACTTGAAAACAATGGGCAAGATGTTGAGGTGATGCCTTTTATGACTTCTGAAGCCAAGAATTGTGTTGAGAGTCCGGACTCATCCAAGGCACTCACTCAGGGATTTCTTTTAAATGGTGGGACGCAAAAGTGCGGTTATACCTCTCTTAAGATTGCCTCTCTTCTAGCATGGCGACTACCGGCGAATGTGTACGCGGAGCTCCTTCATGGTATCCTCAGGTTGAGCCACCACCTCGGCACCCATTTGTTGGCGGTGAGGGCATTGGAAAAACTCATCGAGCTTACCACCAGGGTGGCTTTCCATGAGGAACGCAAGAAGCTTGTTGATGGGGATAACACAAATAAAGCAACCCATGACGAGGGTCCTTTCGGAAGAACGAAGGGTTTGGCGCCTTGTCGGACCCCGAACGATGCCACTAATCTCCCTGGAAGAGATGAATTCAGGATTGATGACGTTGTTTCAGTCGTTGATGCTGAGCTGCAAGCCGAGTTTGTTGGAGTCATGGCGCAGGACCATATCTGTACTATCGCGAGTTGTCAACGCGTAAAGGATTTTGAAACCGCGTGTAGTCTCTACCGACGTCTTTTACAGCATGCGCTGGAGTGGAAGGACAATATTAGAGATCCATCTCCCACCTCTTCACCAGGACCGGGTTTCCTGCTTACCACAGACGAACTGGCGCAGGCTTTTACTGCGCTCGCACACTGTGCACATAACACTTCCCATTTTGAGGAGCTTCGATCCATCTTGACTGAGGACGAGGCGTCTAGAGCGATTCCTGTTTCTGTGCCTCTGTACACTGCGCTTATCTATGCGGTCAGCCGAGCTACCGAGATTCCGGACAGGATGGCAATCGCCCTTGCTTTCTATCGCCGGCTACGGGACGGGATTCTGGTTCCTTCAGTCGATACATACGCGGCGCTCATGGCTTGCTGCGCCTCTACGCGGGAACCCACACACGCCTTTGCCTTTTACCACGAAGCTCGACAAATCTATGGTGTGGAGCATTTTTCCCCTAAGCTTTACACCAACCTTCTCCTGGCCTATTCTAACTTTGGTTTTGGCGCGGACGCGCGTCGGACGTTGGATGTACTGGTGGAGGCAGGGGCGCCTCTCACCTCTTCGGCCTTTCACGCGGTCTTGAGTGGCGCTCTAACGCTGCGGGAGGCTGAGGAGGTGGTTGAAATGATGGTGAACCAGTACCACATCTCACCCACGCCGCACACATACGCCTTTCTTCTTCACGCGGCGATGCGACATCCTGCGGGGGTTCAGACCGCGCTGAAACTCTTTGATCTTCACGAGGAAGCGACGGTTTCACTGCTGAGGCTCACACCAGAGGATACTTCCCAATTACCTTCTTCAGCCTCTCCTACAGCTCCCTTGTCCGAAAAGGTGGCAGTGAGCTCCAAGCCGGAGGCCGCGACGCTGGAAGAGCGGCTGCTTCGGGACTACCCATTGTATGTGCGCTCTCTCGAGAATGCCTTGATGGGACTGAGGATCGATCCTTACCAGGATCCGAGGCTGCGGCGCTATCTTAAGCCTCTCATGCGCGTCGCCCAGCAGCGCATGAACGCGTTGACGGAGATGGCCCCTCAGGCACCAACCTTCATCCCGGTAGGGGCCTGCCCTTGTGTTGCCGTACTTGCCCCAGACGTGCTTGCCGAGATTGATAAGTTAGTGATGCCTTTTATTTCCTATTATTCTGTAATAGTTATTCTGTACTCGGCGTTGGTTGCATTGCAGATGGGCCGAGGGAGGCGCGTGGATGGAACGATGCCCAAGGGCTATACGGGGCGACTTGAAGGTTTGTCCTGGCAAAGCGCCATGACGGAGCACGACGCCATGGTGGAGTACCGTTGGAAGTGTTTGAAAAAGTTCCTTAAAGATTACCAGGAGGTGATACACCTTGTATCGCTTGAGGAAGAATTGCTATGGAGCCGTGACGCCCGTCGGTATGGCATCTTTAACACGAAGGACTTACACGCAAAGAGTGCGGCTTTCGCACTTAACCTTTCTCGCAGAGACATTCCTCACTCTATGAAGCTCTACGCGGACAACGAAAAGCTGTCTGTTATTCTCGTATCCACCAATTACACCCGCTGTGGACGCTACGTGGTCGACCTGAAGAGGAGCTACCTATCGAAGAAGTCGTCTGTTAGCCACGGGCCAGTGTTTGAAGGCCTAAGTGCTGGATTGAGAAAAGTTTTTTTTCATAATCCTCACACGCAGCCTAATTGGACCCCGCCCACCTTGTCGATTAAAACAACAACCATGAAAAAGGACGCGATGGGTGCAGACGACGGGGTAGAGGGCAAAAAGAATTATGTGACACCAAAGCTTGAAAAGGACAGAATGGCAGGGCTTGATACCACATCGGCAGACTTTGCATCCCATCTTTACCGTAAACATCTTCGTCAATGTGAAAATGCTTCAGTTCTCGTCGATGTTGATGATAAGGAGAATTTTAAGCCGAATACTCACCATACAAATGACAATATTGTGGATGAAAAAACTGTCAATACAGCCGAGTCTAGAAATTCAGACAAAATACACATTGTAGCAGAGACCAATCAGACTGATGAAGCGATTGACGCTGAGATTCTCATGGCAATGATGAATCTCTGAATAAAGGTAGCATTTCAAATAATATTGAATCCGAGAAAATCCGTTAGGCTGTGCTTATGATGATGTACGTTAGGCTGAAGGGAAGCGCTACAGTTGTATCCAGAACCCCCTTATTCTCTGTAAGTAGAGGTAACGAAGTTTACCTCTACTTAGCTCTGTGGTAATATTTTACTCCCTCTCCCTTCCATTGTGACTGTTCCTGCGTTTCCGATTTTAATCTAAACTTTATATATATATATATATATACTTATATGCATACACATATATATATATATACATATATAAGTATGTATGTGTGTGTGTAAGTATATGTATGTATATGCAAAATTATTTGGTTACGCTATTGTGAGTTTTTTTTTTCTCTTGTATTTGTTATAATATTGTTATTTTGTGGAAAGCGTCAATGTTTATATAATTTGTTTATGATCTCCCTCTTTTTTTTTGCATCTGAAGAATCTGAAAAGTAACGAGTAAAGAACCAACTAGGAGTGTTCTTTTACATTTTCAGGTGAGATATTTATTAGGGAAAAAATAGAACTCGATAAAAGGTGTCAAATTAATTCATGTCGCTCCAGAGGTACAGTATTGCATGGACGGATAAGCTTATCCAGCGAACGGAGGCCCACCTTCAAGATATTCACTCGGCTATTCATCAATATTATAAACAAGAGGGCTATCCCACGCGTGTTCCTTTGCATCATTCAGCTCCCTCGAAGCTTGACGACGCTGCACCTAATAAAGAAGCTGAGACGGAAGGCTCGTACAAAGAGCTCTCTCAGGTTACTGGCAGCGGCATCTCCTCTACATCACAGCCCTCGGAGAATGTGGTGAGCCTTGTTGGCAGCTTTCCCTTGCGAATCAGCGCGTATCATACACCCTTTTCGGAACTAAATGCAGCGGGAGGAAATGTGGGTGTTGATCTCGTCGTCACGATGCCGGCTTCGAAATGTAGTCAGGCAAATCTCCAGAACGGCGACTACCTCAATCGACGCGCGTCGTTTCTGAAGGAGTTGGGAGATTATTTTGAAAAGCTGGCTGAAGAGGCTTCGGTAAAGCTCAAGGGCACGAAACGGACCAAATCTCACGTTGAGGGTGAACAAATAGCTGAGGAAGGGGAGGATAAACACGCGTCCAGGAACGCCGAGCACGATGCCCTTGAACGATTTTCTCGTATGAAGGTCACTTATGCACCAATGCACGGTTGCTACAGTTATGGGGCAGAAAAGCAGATTATCCAACTTCGATTTCTTCGCCGCAGCGCCGCCGTAGAGGATTTTAATCCTTCTTCGACCACCTCGACGCCGTTCTCTTCTTCCCCTTTACACAAGAACGGTATTTATGAGGTTTTTCATATTAATCTCCATCTTCGATGTGCCTTTTCCTCGGGTCGCGTCATGGGCGCAGTGGGAATTCACAAGCATCCTTACTTCAGCCATCTTGTGCTTGAAGACTATATGATGCCTCACTATCTTAGAAAGATCCATACGTTATGCGTCAACTGCGGCGGGCTTCGTCGTGCGATTGTGATGCTCAAGTGTTGGGCGCACCACACAGGTCTTATGGCCTCTTCTTCAGGACACCCGGAGGGGTTGAATGGGTTTGTCCTTGCTGCGATGGTGCTTCATCTACTTGACGAAGGAATCCTCTTGCCGAATATGACCGAAGAGAATGCAACCCGGACGGTATGGGTGCGCATCACGCATGGGTATTTTACTTCGCCATCGGCGGAATCAGCCACAATACCGGTGAAACCGAGTGCAGAGGAGAGGGGCGAGGTCGCCGTGCTGCGCTTGAAGGGTGAGATGATGAATCTTCTTTTTCGCACCTCCTTGAATTTCTTCAAGACGGTTGTTGAGCAAGCAGCAAAAGACGCACTTGGACACCGGAGTGCTTTCGACATTTTCACGCAGCATCCATTTCAGTCACTGCACCTACGCCACGACGTCGCCCTGATAGCGCATGGGGCGTGGGCTAGTAATGACACCTCAACGGACGACGAAACTAAAGCCAATCCCGATAATAGTACAAATAAGAGGACGGATAATAAAAAATATGAGGATAATGACAGGAATACTAACGATATTAATAAGAGTATCAATGACCGAATTAAAAAGGCATCGGTTTATTTCTCTCCCAGCATTGCGAAGCCAAACGCAGTGCGAGACGTGATTCAAAAGGCTATGGGAAATCGAATTCACCACGTCTTGGTGTGGATGACGAGCCCCAACGACATGCAAGTTGCCGCTCAGTTGGTCAATGAAAGCGAAGGCCGAAGTCGCCTAACACGGGGGCCACCCATCGAGGATGCCGAGGCTGTTGCCGACTTTAATGCCTTCTGGGGCACCAACATCACATCTACAAGGCAGTTCCCTGACGGTGGCATTTATCGTTGTGTGTTGTGGCATCTTGCTGAGGATGAGGGAATCGGCCTCTCGGGGAATCCAGCGTCGAGTCGTGCGATTACTCCCCTTTCCGCATCACTAGTTTTGCGGCATGTGGTGCAATATGCGTTGCGGAAACACATAGAGCCGAATACAACGGTGTCTGTGCTCTTCGGTGGTTTCGACGACTTTTTAACGGAGCGCATCGGTGCTGAATGGCGGGATGCGCTTCCACTTATGCAAGGTTCTCTTTACCAGGCTTCGCAGGATATTCAACAGATGGTTTCTGAGCTTCCCAAGAGTGTATTGCCCTGCAAAATCACTGACTTCAGTTTTGTCGCCGCGAGCGAACGCAATACAGAGGTATTCCCAGCGCGTCCCCATCTGGCCCTGACGTACACCAGTGACTACCATAATCCTGGAGCGACGAATCATGAAAGTAGTAGCAAGACAGAATATCCTGACGAAAGATACGTAGGCATATGCACCGCCCCTTCTATAGATCCTATTTACTCGATCCTTAGCATCGACGATAAGGGAAAGATTCCAGATACCATAGAAGCTATCGAGATGATGCGAGGTGCCATTTGTGCACAGCTTGCCAAATTTTTTAACCAGCACTTCCGCCACGGAATTTCTTCAACATCTGACAAAAGTGCTCTTACGTCTGATTTCGTTTCTTCGTCTGCAAAGGATGATGGGAGCTCTAATCAGCCCCACACCTCGCATCCGGCTGTCCTAGCTTTTGCTACGAAGCAGTCTGTGGACATTATCTACAAGGGGTACTTCTTCCGCATTTTTATTTCCCACTACCGCGAAGTTTCCCTATTGCGTGCTCTACAGCGTGACGCCGAGGCGAATATGCTTGAGAGAAAATTTTTCTGGACTCCGCAGCATGCCAAATATCTGTCTAGCATTGTGTATGGTCACCAGAGCTATGCCAAGGCCACACGCTTGGCCAAGCGCTGGCTAAGTGCCATGCTAATGTATGAGTTTGTTTTACCCGAGGCGGTAGAGCTTTTGGTAGCGCACGCGTACCTCTCTGAAAATGTTCACACCGTACCGAAAACCGCTACTTTGGGATTTCTGCGCTTTATCCAACTCCTTGCGACGCATGACTGGACGACACCGCTAGTTTTGCCTTTTACCGATGAAAGCAAGACGGCAGCCGCCGCGGCTGAGCTAGTGCGGGAACTAGGACCACAACAAGCCATGTACATCGCTACGCCCTATGCACCCACAACAAGCCCGTTCACACTGAATACCCCTCGTCCAATGATTATGTCTCGACTCGTCCAGCTGGCGAACCGTGCCTTGTCCTTGATAATGGGGTGGCTGTTATGTAGCGATGGCAGTGGCGGCCGCATCCAAGATATTGAGTCCGGAATATTTCACACAAGCACCTTGGTCTTCGACTTTTGTGTTCGTCTTCACCCCCAGCTTATCCTACACCCCGACCGCGCGCTCTGGCAGCCTGGATACGGCGAGTTCCCCCAATCTCAGGTATCCGTCGAAGCCAACAACTTACTGATGGGGCCTGTAAGCGAGGAGGGACTTTTCGACGTGTCGAACACGACGGTTCGCCGTATTTCCATGTTAGACGAGCTAAAAGATAAAGAATCGATGCGCAAGTATATATTGGCACTGACCGAGCGCGATCCGGCGGCGCACGCCGTTCAGACCATCCGCACCACACTTCGCGATCAGGCGATGGTGTTTTACGACGCGTTATCCCCCTTGTTTGTGTACATTGTTGCGATCACGGGAAGCCATGCCCTCAAGCACAGCCAGGCGATGCACGAGACGGTGGTCCGCGTGTGCCGCGGGGCAGTGTTGGCCGTCCCGGCCGCTGCCGCGTTCAACCGTATAACAACCGCCAGGGGCCTCACGGCCTCTAGCGGGCCATCCAGGGCCTCGAGCCTAGAGGCTCGTAAGCGGCTTCAGCACAGTCAGGTACCACGGCAGCGGCACGCAAAGAAAGACGGAGAGGACGGGGAGAAAAATTCAAACTGCCAAAGAAGCCCTTCGTGTACTCATGATGCTCCCCGGGAGACCAAACGAACTAGCCTCATACGGCCCCCTAAGCCTCAGTTAAAGCGGCGCGACCGACCTGCGAAATTAGACGCTCAGGATGAGGCCGAGAATTCAATAGGTGAGCCACCCAAGACCTTCCCAACCTCACTAAAGCAGAAGAGAGATAGAATTTCATCCGTTAAGTCAGAGGAGGAGCAACCTCAAAACGATACCGACCTAGATATGAAAAAGGTAAAAAGACCCAAGATTAGCAGCGTGAATGAAAAAGAGGGAGTAAAAAGAAAGAAATCAGGGAACACCGTAAAGCTCAGCAAAGCAAAATAGATCTCGAATCTTTAGTTGTTGTTGTTGTATGTGTGCGTTCCCATCTATATTGGGTGAGGCTACATAATTAAGATGCGTTTTTATGCGTGTAAGTGAAAATGGAAAAAATGAAAGCCACGTCATTCTTGACGGTGTAAGTGGTTTCCTTTTTCGATTTAAAAACGATAATAAACTAAAAGGAAATAGGTGGGAGCATGCCTTTTTTCCGTCTGAGTGAAATGAACTCAGTGATGAGTATTTAAGAGCCAGAATATCCACCTGGAATCTTAATTTATTTACGAAGATGAAAGGAAGTAACAATAAGTAAATGCGTAAGTTAACCGATAAATCCAAACTCCCTCTAATTCAATATGAAAATTCATATATTAATACGTAGTGTGTAATTTTATAAAAATAATTAGCTTTACTTTCTGTTGTATTTCTAGCTCTTTTTTCGTATATACGCATTTAGTATAACTTACAGCTGGAGCAGAAATGCGTTGATAATTTTGAATTGTCTGATAATTGTTTTGATTCCTTTCACTTATACACATTTCAAGGGGATGATAAAGAGCTTGCATAGTTTATGGCGTTGCTTATGTTTTGTTCGCACCGGGCCACTGGCCATAGGCGTTGTATCGAATTGGTCCCGTAGAACTTCTCTGCGCTATGTTCGTAATGCCAGAATTTCTTCCCCAGGTGTATTTATGTCTTCTTCCTGTATGTCATATCGTTCCACCCAACTGCCGCAAATGAGTCCCATAATTCCTCCTCACTCAAACGGCTTATTAAAAAAAAAAAGTGGCAAGGCACCCCTGTTGAGAAAATCGCTCCTTACTGAGCTGGAGAGTCCCACCCTTTCGTGCAATGAAGGAAAGAAAGAAAGGTCTTTAGTTCACTCAGAGAATCGTAATGTTCAGAGCATTAGCAATAAGAACAGTTCCCAGAAGACAACAAGAGCTCTTCCTAATGAACAGCTTCATCGTAAAGTGTGCATAAGCGAAGACCCCATGGAAGTTTTTTTAAAGCCCTCACAACACGCGCGGAAGTTTGAAAAACACCTCTTATCTTGCCCTAATTCCACAACATCCTTCCCTGCCTTTCTTAGCTCATCTGTAATCAGAAGGAGTTCCCAGGAGACACAAGACACAAGCCTCAACGAGTTCGAAGCCCAGCAAGCCGTGTTGCGCGAGTCTTTTGATTATGCCTTCAAACACCACCGGGTGCGTCTACGGAAGGACCCAGGTGTTTACCGCCGTGAGTGTGCCGCCTATTGTCGTGCCCATCCTCAACGGCCGCATCGCCGGGTCCGTGCTCAGGAAGTGAGCCCCTACACTGAGGTCACGCTAGCCCCCGTCACCGCCCTTCGTGCGTTGGCGCACCTCAACCCGAAGACCAGTTCCATGTACGCCGTGGTGCAACAAGGCGTTCTCCTTCAGCAAGACGTAATGAGGAGTCAATTAATACTTAGTGATCAGCGAACCCTGGTGCGTTGTCTACGGTGCTTTCATGTATTCCCAGCACGACCGCAGACTTTATGGGGCACACAACCATCTTGTGATGACGGTGTGCACACTCAGCACAGCTGGCAATCCTACCACTTGGAGTTAGAAAAGGTACGAAAGGCAAAACAGCTTCGACGCTGTCCACATCTCCGGAAGAAAATCTGCAGCGTAGGTCGACAACGCGCAGACTTTGAGGACAATCCAACATGCTGCCCTTTTTGTGGAAGTTCGAAGGCTCAATGGGCTATGGAATATGTTCATAACCGGACCCATGCCCGAACTGCATGAGGCGAATTTGAAGTGTTTATTCAAGCACACATATTACTATATAGCGTGCTAACGCGATGAAGAGATGGCGTATGTCTGAATAGTGAAAAAGTGATGTGAAAAAGGTCATTGAAAAATACTTAGACATATAACGCTACTCTTCTTATTGTGTAATCTTCTTCTGTGTTCACTTTGTTTATTATATATATATATATATAGATAGATGACGTCATATGAGTTAGTAATTATTTATTCATTGACCTTTAGCTATTGTTATGAGGCGCAAACCTTTTGGGATGTCTAAGCGTCATCGTGACCTGCTTTTATATTTAGCTGGATGCCCGGACCTTCATCTTTTCTTCATCATTGTTGTGCTGCGCACACTCTTTTTGCTTTATATGGTATTTTGTCATCGAGTCTTTCCATGTCTGTTTCAACAATGGAAATCCAGAAACGGTCAATCCCTTGCATTAGATTACGACAGCTGTGGCCGTCTCTATGACGATCAGCGCCTTACGGAGCTCCGGCATTGGGATGGCGTGCATATGTATCATATTGCCAACCATGGTTACACTCATGAGACCCTCTTTGTATTTTTTCCATTTCTTCCGTTTTTGATTCGCTTTGTGCGTTGGTACACTGTGCATGTCTTTCCGTTGTTGTATCGTTTGGCACCGATTTCATTTTATGTTTCTGGGCTCAACATTATTGCATCCGCAGGCGCTGGTGTCATCTTACGGCGATTAACCATCCTTACAATGCTTGGGCACAGAACCAAAAGAAACATCACACTATGGCGAGGACATGAAAAAGAAAAACATACAAATATTGAACGAGGTTACTCAGTGACAGCACATGAGGTTGTTTTTGAAAAACATCATGGAGATCCCGAGGCAGCTATGGAAGCATCTGCACTATGCACATCAGGAACTACCCCTGTATCCCCTTTGTACTTTTCGGGATCATTAAGTGGCATGCTGGTGAATAATCAAAATCGAGTAAATCCCACCTGTAGTATGAATAAATATCATGATTGCGGAACTGAGGGTATTTTGGTGCACTTTCCAAACGCTCGCGCAGCTGACGTGTTCTGTATGATACAAGGATACCATGGGACTCTTCTAGACAAACTGCCTCCTCTACTTCTTACGACTTCGATACAGGACACTTCACATCCTGTAATACATGAAAAAATGGATAATGATATGTTTATGTCAAACATACAGGAAACAACACAAAAAAACATCACCGTTTACTCGCCCTCACTTGCTTCTAAAGCTGCAAAAGAAGTAACTTTTCGTTGGAGGGCTGTGGGTGGGGCTGTTTTGGTTTGGATCCTCACACCTGCTGTAGTGTTCACAGTCTCAAATTACACGGAGAGCATTTTCTCATTCTTTACGATGTTAGGCATATATTCTTTGGTCCACTATCGGCCTTTACCGAGGATAGCAGATACTAAACTTAAGGAAACGGAAGGCGTCATAATTTCCAGATGTGCTTACCCATCTCCTAAACCCCGAGGTAAGACCACTATCTGTGGGGAGAGTGATTGTCATGATATGTGTTCGATCCACTGGAAGCAGGCACTCACGTCATGGCATGAAGTGGTAGCGGTTATGTGCTTCATGATCTCGAGCTGCATACGGTCAAACGGTTTTGTGTGTGTTGGGTTTCTGCTGTACCCAACTGTACTTCAGATATTTTTCTCACAGAGCTACCGCGAACGGTGGGAGATACTTCATGGGCCCTATTGGGCCTCCTTTGTCAGCCATACTTCTGGAAAGAAGCCACTGAAAACGGAGACTCAACTAGAAGGTTGCGAAGGGGGCATGTGTTTACACATGGATATTTTAAAATTAATTACAAAGGAAGTCCACATTGTTCGTACACTTTACACACCAACCCGCTTTCCCCATCCTCTCCGACTCGTTATTCTCCTTTTTGAATGTGCCCTCATCTTTATCCCTTACTTATCAATGGGGTACTTAGGATGGAAACGATACGTGGGTTTGTGGTCTCAAAAGAAAGGACACATTGTCTGCAACAACTTCTTGAAGTTCTATAATGTTCTCCAAAAGAAGTTCTGGAATGTGGGTTTTATGAGGGCTTACACAGTCACAAACTTTCCAAACGTTATCATTGCATTGCCTATTGGACTTATTCTGTTGTATACTTCCTATCGCTACGCATTCCAAGTAGCATTGCGCTCTGATTTCTGGCCTTCCTCCTCCTCCTACACGGAATCAATAGAACAAGGAAAACACTCGATCATCAAAACTGCACAACGCGTTTTGGTGATTCTGCAATCTATGGTCCAATCCTCTAACGTGGTTTATCTCTGTGTTCTCTGTTTGATTGCTTTCACAGTGATGCATGTACAAGTTGTTAATCGTTTTGTTATGTGTAGTCCAGCGCTCTATTGGCTGATTGGGGCACAGTTTGCGACAAGGCCAAACTCGAGAGTGACATGTTTCATTCTATTTTACGTAATTGTATGGGGACTAACTGGTGGGCTTTTATTTTCAAACTTCATGCCCTGGACGTGAAGAAAAGAAAGGGATGTAGGAATTTATGAAAGCTTCAAGTAATAGTAAGGCTAATACCAATAATGTATCAAATCACCTACATATATATTACCATAAGAATCTGAAATGTGTAACTGCACTTTTGAGGAGTTCTGATTGGAAAAAAAAGAATGAAAAATATATCAACTTGGTGTTAAAGAAAATGTATTTTGATTTGCATGCCTTTCGGTATTATTTGAGAAGAGCCCCTAAAATGGCGTCATCCTCAAAGCCATCATAGACTAGTGTTTTTTAATTATATGGCTTCAAAGAGGTAACTTTGGGTGAACTAATTTCAAATTTATATAGAAGAGCGTACTTGTATTTTTTGCTATTAAATTTTAATATACCCTACGCATATTCTTTAGTATTTCTGCATAAGTTCACTCAAAATATATATCTTTTTTTTTAATAAGGTGATTATTTTGTATCCCTTTCTTTTTATCTTCATCATTATATTTGACTCTAAACAATTTAATATTTCTTTCTGCTTTGTATTTCTCCTATAAGCACGCGCACACGTATAGACCAAGCTTTATTATTTATATTGGATCAGCCTAAATACTTCTTAGTGCAGATGTTTGCGAAGAACAGCAGACACAATGTGAATCCCTCGTCAATATTTCAGAAAGAGAAAGAGAATGATTCTAATCAAAGCATAACTTCAGGTGTCCAGCAAACAAAAATGAGGCCACGTAACCTATCAAAGCTTACATCAGTCTTTGGTAAATCACCCGATTCATTAGCATCAGCATCCACCAAAAGCTCTGACATATTACCCAGAAGCGTTCACCAAAAGATAACCGTATCAAGAAAAATTGAACCCTCAATTCTGTCGCGTCAATCTGTTAAATTTATCTTAGAAACTCAAGAAACTGGCTCTCCTACTTCTCAAGTTGTGCATAAAGAGTCGCAGCAGAATGTATCTCCTTTTCTACCATTGAGGACGTGCTCAAGTACTGACCTATCCGCGGTGCCGGCGCATTCGACAATTCTAGACAAGCCAGGCTCACTTCCATTACAACAAGGCTCATTGAACTCAATTTTAATATCTTCACATCCCAGCAACATGGTCCAAGATACCCCACTTGGAGTGAGCAGTATAACATTGTCACCAGCAACTTCTGCTTCTCCGGCTATTCTTTGTACGCTGCCGTGTGACCTTACATTTCCATCCAACCAGTCTCAAGATGATGATGCCTTTAAAATTTTTTTTCCTCCAACGATTCCGAACCATAGTAGCTTGTCTACATATTCATCTGAAGCATCTGCTTGCCTGTCCAGTACCTTTCCAAGGATATATTCTGATTTTTTCACACAGAATAACCACAATACCACTCAAAATTTGGTTCCTAGTTCTGACAAGAGTGCGCCATCTTATCGTAATCTGCAGCTGGATCAAGGAACTCACGATATAACAGGACTCACTCAACAGGTATCACCTTCCCCACGCAGTGATTCCGATCCCCTTATCATCGAGGACTTGAGTTATTCTAATGGAGGGGTGATTGATGATAAATTGTTGCTACAAAAGCAGGTGCAGTCGACTTTTTTACATTCTGGAGAACATACGAAACATACTCAACCCTTCACGAAGATGTCTGAGCATGCCACTACAATTTTGAAGGGCACTATTGCACACAAGAAGAAATACTCAAGTAGCGAAAGGAGTTTCATGAGTATCAAGAGCCAAAATTCTGATGTCATTTTCAGCATTAAAAACACCGATAAACGTGATGACAACGCCCAATCCGATGTAGTAGAAAAAAATAGCACTTGTAACTCAGGGCTGGATTCTTTAATAGTGAAGGGACCCTTAATCTTATTGGATTCAAAAGCTGGTAAAGAGAACCTTCAAGGAAAGATTTTTACATGTACAGAGACAAACAATAAAGGGTTTAATAAAAAAATTCATTTGAAGAAGGTCAATTCTATTCATCAAAAGAAACCGAATAGCGCAAATGAACTTAAGGGACAAAAAATTCCGAGAAACCCAATATTGTTGGCTTCACAAAGGCAAGATATCACTCAAAGTTCTCGTGCACGCATTCACAAAGACCTAAGTTGGTCCCATACAAAGCAAAGAAAGTCCCTGATAACCGTTGCCCGTCCCTCTGCCATGGTATCTGTAACGATCCCCAAGGGCTCATCGAAGTCAAGGAAGAGGACGCTCTCAAACATGGATTTCACAGGTACCCTCAATAGTTTTGGGAATCAATCTAGCATAACGTCTCATCAAATACATTTGAGCAGCAGCACCAGTTCTTACGCAGATCGGCCTTGTACCAAGTTTTTTGTTGCTGTATTTGTCTTTCTGATATGCAAGAAGTTGATACGTGTGGTCCATGAGAGGCGCAGGATAATCTTCATAGAGACAATAAAAAAGCCCCATGCCGCGTATATTATTCAATGTGCATGGAGAAGATATCAACAATGTGGCCGTATTGCTTGTTGGCGCGCCGCTCGTTTTTTGGTGGAGTGGCTCCGTTTCAAATTGCCTCGTCTTCGTCGCACCCGTGAGGAAAGTGTGCACATTCTGCATCAGGTCCTTTTAAGCAAAAAAACCCTCTCGCTTGTTCGCTCAACATGCCAGGAGATACACTATAAAACAGATCTCGATATGATAACCCGTTGCATCAAGTGTTTAGGAGCGCGGAAAATACTCTCACGGCTGAAATTGGAGCGTGATGAACGCAACATACTTATTCAAAAGTGTTACCAGGCATCACTACGAATTTATCGTGATGAGCGGTTCGAATTCTTGGGCCTTATCAAAGAAGCCCAGAAAGTTTTAAGCATCCACCCTAAGGCACCTGTTCTACAATGTAAGACAGGGATCCTCCGATGTTCTTACCATGTATCTGATGTTCAGGACGAATCTGAGGTTGAGACAAATAAAGCAAATTCAAACAGTAATGTGCCTAAAGCGGGGGTTCAACATATAACTGCCACAATTGTTGACAAATCCAACAACTCAACTTCACCTGTTAACTTCCTAGCTTTGGCGTCAACTAATCAAACAAGCGCACCGTCTCATGCACTTTCCGAAGCCGAGTCCACCATCAACGAAGTTCATGAGGCTGCTCCAGTTTCTTCTTGTGTTTCATCTGACAAAGTACCAATGTGGCGTCAATGCCGGCATGGTTCCCTTATATTTTTAAATGATAAGATACCAACCTCTCCACATAGTGGGTCTATGCGCTCGATGCACTCTGCGCCATGTATTATGTGGGAAGCAACTAGGACACTGTCGTCAGTATGTAGTGTAGGTCCTGATGTTGATGGATGCTTTGAAGGGGATCTCATTGCAGTGGATGTGAGTTGCCCTGAGGTGCAAGTAATGGACAATGATCATAAGAAAGGGAACTTTCCTACGGCACAAAGCATCCCTGTTGCTCTATCTCATAGTGATCCTCCACTCAATGTGATGCGGCCCTTCCGTGAACCGGCCCGAATCGAAGATCATGAGTTTCTGAAAGAATTATTCCAGATGGAGACGGATGCCTATCTGGATGTTAAATTCTCTAAAAAATCCGAGTGGATCAATGGAAAGGGATTACAACTTCAAACACAATGCGATGGACGCGAATATGCTTTGAATAACGACAGCGTTAATGCCATTTCGAACAGAAATGCAGGCGATTTGCTTTCGCAGTACGCGAACGTCAAGCTTAAAGCTTATAGCCCGTCTTCATCAACAAACCTTACGGAAGCCGCCCACAATAACTTGGAAGGTTCTCGTAGCTTGGTACACCGTTCTGGATATTTGCATTTTTTCCCTTCAACATTATCAAACCATGAGATGGGCAACAATATATCTAATGACTGCCCATTGAGTCTTCCACGCACCCTCAATGATCATTCTGGCTATCAAAGTGAGGATGTTCTCCACGCTCAAGTGGATCTTCTTATTTGCACCGAGTCAATAGAACGAAAGGCACTAACTTGGAAGCTTCTGGATGCCCATAAGACACTTTATTTACCTGTACACAATCTTAACTTAGCCCACTATTTCTGTTCTTCTGCAACTGTTCCACCATTCTTTGCCAGTTTGCTTTTATCCATGAAGGACGAGATGTTTATGAGACGGGCTGCCAAGCTCTTTGCTGAGGAGCACAAAAGACGCATATCCATTACAGAAGTCTACGATTCATTACCACTCCGTTTCTTAGTGCGCCCACTCTTGAGCTCTAGAGTAGGACGGCAACGTAGAATAATTGTTGAGAACGCATACGCTGCACATAATTCGCTTATGCTACCAGAGGAAAAGGATGTCTTTCTTGGTGATCACCTAGATTCGATAAACGCAGCGCAGCATGGAATGATTAAACCGATCCATCCCATATCCACACACATGAAAAGTAATGCAGAAAACAGCGGTGGTGACTCTCAAATTCTTATGGAGTGTTTGGCAGAAGGGTTGGATCAGGATACTGTTTACACAAATCAAAGGCACTTCGTAGTAAGGATGGCCCATCAGTCTCGAAAGGTGTGCAAAACAGCGAACACAGACGCGACTAATGAAATCATCTGGCCTCAGAATGCGAATGTATCTGTTAAAAATATTGTAGACGTAGGTGTTCCCTCAAGGGTGGACAAAGGCGAAGTCATCGTAACCGATACATCGGAAAAAACTCTTAAATGCAGCGGTCCATCCGTTTCATCATCCAAACCTCTAGATGCATACATAAACAGGGCCAAGAAAAAACGCTGTGAATATGTAGGTGTTAGTTCAAAAGAGAAGTCGGCGTTGCCTCATTTAACAAAAAAGCATATACAATCTTATGCATCCAATTCAGCGTCTTCTAATGTAATGCCTGGTATTATTGCCGCAAATACAAGTAACAAAATACCATCGGGTCCTTCTCAATTACCCGATATCAAAGACTCCACCTATGGGATGTGTCATGATTTTCGAATCTACCCCTCTGCTGACGTTAGTCGCAACGAGGTGATGGAGAGCGATGCATGTTGCATAAAGGAACATGCTAGGTTTTATGCCGCAAAAGACAGCTGACTACATCCTTCTCGTGCTTGAGTCTGTGATGAGTGGTTGATGGGGGTCAACCCAGGCACCGTTAACGCATGAGGCCCTTTCTGTTGCTATGGCAGTGATACGTGTGCATGAGAAGGGGGTTACCGAAGGTGTTATCCTTTATGGTTTTCATCTTTACTCGATGACGACTATGAACAACCCCTATCTCTGAAAAAGATACCTCCAGTGTGTGTGTCGCGCTTATCATGCGTTGAGCCAGCTTCAATATGAAGGTGTTACAATCTGCAGGAGTGGAGGGGCCATACCCGACTGCGAAGAAGTCCTCAATCAGCTTGGCGAGTATCCCAATGTTTCCCTGTCTCTCCTTTCTACTTTGCTTCCGTCAGATTTGCTGATTTCTCCTCTCTTCCCAACTCGCTGCTAAGTCATAGCTTGTGTAGATGCGTACAACACTGCCGTAATGAGTTGAGGATGGGGCATCAACCCCAAGACTAGCACCAACAAAATCTGATATGGAGCTGCGCGATAGGAAGGTAAAGTGTATCCGATGGAGGTAGTCGCGGGTGTACTTTGCAGAGCAAAGTAACAACCTGAATCATAGCCGTTCAGCCTCAGAAGGGCTGAGAGGAAAAGTGAGTGTGGGAACTTCATTTCACTGCAATCAAGGTAAGAAGGTGCATAACGCGCATTTGTTTGATGTAAATTATATATATATATTATTATCATATTTTTTTGTTTTATTTAAAGCTTCAGCATCCGAGAACCCCTCTACGGCTATCTATCACCACTTCAAAGTATTAGATGCAACAAGGAAGAAGTATTTCATGCCTGTGGATATAAATATATATATATGTTGTGACACTCCAATGAAATGTGCAGTGTGTGATGAGTGCGATTAGCTGGTTGTATTTGCTGTTCAAAATGGTAAAGAGTGAGTAATCTACTTTTTCTAAGCTGGAAGCAGCCTGTCCATGGTGAGCAAGGCGTATACCCATATGTAGGATCACCGCAGGTTAGGTTTATAGCCCTGCTATAGAAAAGACACAGACATTTCACAGAAGTATTTCTTTCATGAACCTGATTGTTGTAACAGTTTTGTTTGTTTACTTTCACCTTTATTGTGTCTACTTCGCCCCCAATCCTTCTAACGTAGAGTTCCTGCCCTCATATATGGGAAGTAGCGGCTTCTCTCCTTTTCAGTTGATAACGTCAACGCTAAGCATAAATTTTAATGGTGAACCGACGAATAGCCCGAGGTTCTCGCAATAAGCAGAAGAAAAAGATTAAGTCGAGCAAAAAAGCACATATTTCTGAAAATCCTTCACAACATGGTGAAAGGCCTAAGGGGCTGGACCGCGTAGCTCACCTTGGAGACGACCGCTCCACCGGCAGGGTCCACCTGATTGCGTCAGGGCGGAGGCCACTTCGGCTGAAGAAGTCGCGTTCCGCAGCCTCTTCTGGAGCTCTATCAAAGCTGAAGGGTAAGAAGAGTTTAGTATTAAAGAAGCAGGCCGCGGAGCGCATGGTGCTGAAGGAGCACCTTCGGGAACTCGAGGCCCGCCGTGCAGCCACACGTCGTGGCGAAAATGCGAAGATAGAACGCCGTGAGCTTGGAAAGTATATCCGCGCGCTAAAGACGGAGCAGCGTGTGAAGCATATATCGGAGCTGCAAAATGTTGAAGCGGAGTTAATGCGTTTTATTGAGTCCAGGAAGCAAAAGCAGAAGGATTGTCTTGAAGAAGAGGATAACAATGGGAATCCCTCCCACTCTCAAGACTGGGAAGACCTTGACGACGGTGAGGCAAGCATTGATAGCATGGGCGAAAAGGAACTGCAGGAGCTGTTTTCACATCTCACCACATAAGTGATTACCCCCACCCACCCACCCAAAAAAGTAAGTAAGAATGAACATATTAAAGCACCCCAAACCCAAGAAATAAATGGCAATGCGAACGAAATTTATCGATTTGTATTCTTCTTGACATGTTCTATTGTTGTTGTTTATTTTCTTACCTCTGTTTGTCTGACTTATCTTTGTTATTGTGCCATTCGTTACCGGTACGTCTAGCTTATTATTTTATGTTCATAAACAAGGTTTGAACCTATTTTAAGTCAATATTTCGTATTTCAAAGGATCTTTAATTATTTCATTATATACGATCATTTCATCCACTTAAAGTGGTCGCGAACAACTATAACAAAATTACAACTCGAAAAGAAAGTCATGTCCTTCTTGCCTTGTATCCGTATCATCGGGTCCTCCCCCCATGACCTTAAAACCGAACTTATGCATGCGGTCGAACACGCTGGATTCTCTACGCACCTCGAAACGAGTCACTGCAAACCCGAGCAAGTGGAAAGCGACGGTGAGGTATTCACTCTGTGCGTGGATAGTGCTGATAATGATACGTGCTCAAAATCGACCTTTCATTATGAATGTCGCTATATATGGGGAGAACGGAGCAGTACACAGGAATGTGTTGAGTTTTTGAAGGACTTCATTGAAGTTGCCTGGGGGGGAAATGTCGGTAAAGCGGCTTCACCGGATGCTCTTGACAGGCCATATGGTCGCTTCATCAGCACGCGCGGCCACAGTGTCAGCTCCACATTCACCACTGTCATCCTGGAGGGCCTTGCAAAGGATGGGGGTCTTTATCTTCCAACACGCCTCTTAACCATGTCGCCCTCACAGATTGATTATTTCTGCCTGTCCCCTGGGCTGCGCTACATCGAAGCCGCGCCGATAATTATGGAACGGCTTGTGGACAAGACCATTAGCCCCGCAGTCCTTCGCTCTCTGATTATACGAGCATACGATCCCTGCCGCTGGTGTGACAAACAGGATATCTGCCCAGTGACACCTTTGTTGGGGGAAATGCCAGGTATCAAGGCGGCTGCGCACACTCCGAATTGGATGCAGGATATTTCCGTCATGGAACTTTACCATGGACCCACCGGTGCCTTCAAGGACTTTGCCTTACAGCTTTTTCCGCTCTACTTCAACGCGGCTGCAGATGGGAAGTGCAAGGATGTTCACACAGGCACCGATGTCAAGCTGCAGGAGGTCAAGAAGGAGGAATCCGAATATGAGAAAAGAGATGCCTATCTAATCCTGACCGCCACCTCTGGCGATACTGGCGTCTCTTCAATTTGCGGGTTTGTTAATGCGTGTGGGCGAAGCAAAGTGATGGTTCTCTACCCGCTCTATGGGGTCTCGCCTGTTCAACGGTTGCATATGCTTTCCTACGACAACGGCACAAGTGTACGTGTTTTGGGCATTGACACAAATTTTGATTTCTGTCAAAAATCAGCCAAAGCTGTTTTTCTGGACTCTGAATTGATGCAGAAGTTTGGTGCACTCAATCCACCGTTGAAACTATCCTCTGCGAACAGTATCAACTGGGGTCGCTTCATTCCACAGGTGGTGTATTATTGCTGGGCGTATCGCCACTACGTGCATCACGGTGCTGAACTCATAACGAGCGGCCGGGCCTGGAGCTACGGCGATCCCATCGACATCGTTGTACCGTGCGGTAATTTTGGAAATATTCTTTCCGGGTACTACGCGAAACTGATGGGGTTCCCTATTCGGAAGCTCATTGTCGCTTCTAACCTAAACGACGTGCTTTATGAGTTTATCAAAACAGGATGCTATGACATTCGCACGCGCCGGCTCGAACCGTCCGCATCGCCTTCGATTGACATCCTAAAGGCTTCAAACGTGGAGCGGCTTTTATTCGTCCTAAGCGACGGTGACACAGCCCTTGTGGAATCGGCAATGATGCAGCTAGACACTCAGCGTTACTTCCAGATCAGCGACGATTTGCGAAGGCGCATGTCAGAAACCTTCGAAGCTTACCGGTGCGATGAGCAGGATTGCGGGGCAATTATCAAGGAGGTCTTTGAGGCCTCCGGAGGTCAACGGCTGCCTGACTCCCACACAGCCATCGCGATGTACGCAGCCAAGGTCTTTCGGGAGGAGCAACTTCGTGGTTACCACCTTGACTCCCACCAGGGCATTCCACCGCTGGTTGTCCTTGGCACGGCGCACTGGTCGAAATTCCCGGAAGCGGTCCTGCACGCCATCAGAGGAGAAAAGATGACTATCACCCCCCCCTCTTCATATCCAGAGGAGTCCATTAAGCAGGTATGGGACCTGTACAAACAAATACTTGAGATGTGCCCCACCGAAGAGACACCGAACGCAGGGGATTGGATACAGAAAGTGCATCCCGCGCTTGCCGCTGCCCTTAAGCTATCGGAGGCCAAGATCAACAAGCCCCGTAGTTTGCCTGTCGACATTGAGGCTGTAAAGGAAGAAGTGGTTCAATTTTCTACGGTATAACTTTTCTCTCAAAATTAAAAAGAAATTTAATACAAAGTATCTCAAGCATAATATCGTTTGCTGCTTATAAAATTCAATGCAAAACACTAGCTCTGTATGGTGTTTGCTTTCAGTGAACGTTATTTTTCAATTTACTACAAGCATTTTTTTTGCACATCTAAAACAATTTATACCTCAAAATAGCTTAGTGGATCATCGTTATCATGGACTTAGTTTTACTGCATTGACAGTAGTAAACGGCTTAGTGATTAATAATTATTATTAACCCTTCTTTTTCTTTTAATATATTTCCTTTTATTTATTATTCGCACAACGCAGGACTTTGGTGTTGCAAATACAGGACCTACTAGATTCTAAACCCACTCAAATGCTTACTGAAGAGTCCTGTCTTGAGTATGGTTATTGCAACAACTGCCAAGGGAATTCTATTTTTACCTCTTAAAGATGAGACGATATATTAGTTACTAGTATAGAATTCGGTTATCATTATTATTATTAAAACGATGTTACTATTCCTATCTTTCTTGGGTAAATATACTTTAAAAAATCATGTTATCGATGGGATAACACCTAATGTTTCATCTACTTAATAGAAGTATTTCATATGAGCGGGTGTTAACTATTATTATTTTCCCTCCTGCTTTTGATCTACTGATTTAAAGATAATTACAGAAGCCTTTTCCGAGATCACTATCCCTAACCTTAATACGTATCCTGTGCTCCTTGTCCTTCCGGTGCAGGATCGTTTTATTAGCAAGGATAGAAAAACAATCACACCAAGGAAGTGGAGGTAAGCCTCCTCCAAAAAAAAAAAAGCAAGGATTCAGTCTAGCGAGGCTTCACAGACTCACTTATTAAAATTTACCTTATTTCCTTTGTGACTTACGATTATTGTTTTTGCACATCACTTTAACCTTATTTAAAAGAAATTGTGCACGCTTGTGTTAATTAGACGCAAAAAATACACACGAACACCTCTGTTTCACCACGATATTACGTTTCCCTCCTGCGACTCATAACGTCTAGTTTAGTCTAACAACGGTGAGAGGTGGAGGAAGAAGAGGGTGCTTGGGTGGGGTGCCGTCCAAAGCATAATGGCATTCCCATTGACACCGGAGCCGACCGACAGAATTCAAAGTGGAAGCAGCGAGGGAGGCGGTGTGTTCGTGCCTCTGGACACCCTGACTACCAACGCGGTTAACCGAGGCCTGTCCGATCTTCACGTGCCCACGTGGCTAGGGTTGTTAGCCTCGAATATCGCCGCCCGCACGGTTATTTTTCACCCCCTGCAGCTCTCTGTAGTGCGTAAGCGTGTGACACGGGCTGAGAAGCCGCCGAGCGTGCTCACACAGCTAAGGGCGGCGTACAAAGGCGGTGTGGTGACATTTCCATCACCCGTCTGCAGGGGTGGTTCCACTAGCGCATATCCTCTTCAAAACCCTTTATTACCCTGTGATTTAGGAAAAGGTGGTGTTCGCGGATGCTATCGTGGTCTCGGTACTGCTCTATTAGCAAATTTAATTGGAGAAGTTTCATACTTATTTACACTAGAGACTTTTATGGATCGGATAGCGCGTTCAACTACCTCGTCTTATGAGCAAACGTTAGCTCTTCACCAAGGGTTCAATAATGCTCAACGCGATATCAACAACTTAACGTATCGAACTCAAGATAAGGAGGGGTTTTGTACCCCAAGTATCGCGGCAGCTCTGGGGGCCATGCTGGGAGACCTTGTCTCGCTCATCATTATTACCCCTGCTGTCATAGTCTGTAATCGACAGATGACTGCGGGTTATGGTATGACCTCTAGCAACAGTTATAAGTCTATGTTTAGTACTTTCAATGAAGTGTGGAATTTACACCAACTTTATCCCAGGCCGTCAAAAATGGTCAATAGTAATTCTTTCTACTCCAAAACAACATGCGTATCACGTTGGGTATGGTTAAAAAATGGATTCAATGGCATTTATAAGGGCTTCAATGCAGGTCTTCTACGTATTCCATCCAGTGGCTGTTGGTGGGCAGTGTACACAAAGACGAAGGAAGCTATGTACACGCTTGCGACACCGACTCTTATTCAATGGAATGGAGAACGCAATAGCGAAGAAATTCGAAGCATTAAATTTTCAAATGGTGAAACCACGGGTACTACGAGGTCTATATGGCAACACAACTGGTTTCTTTCACTAACTGATAACCCTCTGCTCAACGCCACAGCTAGTGCTATGGCTAGTGTTTGTACAACACTATTATTTAATCCAATTGCAGTTATACAGACCCGTCTTCAGGTGCTCCCTGAGAATTACTGGAACCAAAAACTTGCTGCTGCTGGCGTCAAGGCTGCCACACAAGATGGAATTGTGGGGGCTTCAGATTCCAGGTTAGGCCTCAAACCTATTAAAAGCCGTTCTAATATTCATCCATTCAAACGGATTCATATAATAGCTGTTGATATTTTGCAGAGAGAGGGGCTTCGAGCCTTCTTTAAAGGCTCCTCTGTGAATGTTGCCGTAGCAGTGTTAGATGGTCTCGTGTTTTCTTTCATTTTTGAGTTCACAAAGCTTGGCAGTGATAAGAACTTTATCGCGAACATCTCACCCGTCGAAGTTACTCCAGTAAAAGAGATCATAAAAGTGAAAGGAAAAGGGCACGACATCTGGGAGTAATTTTCTCAATCTCTCTCTTACCTTAGCGAAGTAAATGGTGCAATAGGAGATTCGATCAAAAAGGAATAAAATTCCTTATCAAATGTCAGTAGAGACGAGTGAATGCGGCAGTAAACCGGCTAAATCACTAAATAATGTCATTAATTGATTTGTCCGTACTAGTGAAGACATTTTGAAATAAATTCATTTACTGTCTTGAATTGTTTTCTTAAGGAATCAAATCCTCACTGCACTTTATTTTATGTTGTTGTAAGAGGGTATTTCAAAAAATCGGAATATGATAACTTACATAAATATTACTCTGCTATTTTCTATTTTTATCTACACTTATTTTGCTCGCCTTTGTACATATTGTTTTTCCTCTTTTGCTTTCCTTCTTGTTGTTTATTTTCAATGTCGTACTCTTAATAATAATACTCTCAATAAAGGATAAAAGGTCACGGTCTTATTCTTGACTCTTTTTTCATTGGATAACAGTACTTTCATCACTTTCCTTTTTATCCAACTTCACGAAAGTATTAAAAGAACGATATGGCAGTCGCTGGGACCGGTGGTGCTGATATTGAAGAGCTGGTAAAACGCATTACAACCCATCGAGGTGTTTGTGGTTTTCTCATTATCAACAGTGAGGGAATCCCCATACGTCATAGCTTCACGGAAGCTTCGCGTGAGTTAGCGGTGCAGTATGCGGCGCTCTTTCAGTCTCTTGCTATTAAAGCCAAATCTGTTGTCCAGGAGATGGATGGTAGCAATGAACTTCAATTTATGCGCCTGCGCTCCAAAAAGAATGAAATCATTGTTGCACCGGATAATAAATATGTCTTGATTGTTATTCAGGAGCCACTGGATTACTGTAGCGATAAGGACGACACAGAAGTGAGTAATCAAATTCAAGGAGCTTAGAGAATGGAACAGAAAAGGGTCTGCAACGCTTTGGGCTACTCTTTGTTGTTCAATAGTTTTGATTTTTCACCTGTTTGTCTTGATGTAGGGGCAATGCGAATGTAAATACAGATATGCAAGGACCGATACTCTGGACAGGTTTGTATCGTGGGGAAAAAATGGTGCAGGTCCATATTGCGCATTATATATATATATATAAGTAGGGGTGAGATTCCTTTTTTTCACCCTTCTTGGTAATGGTCCTTTGATTAATCCCTAGTAGTGCTAATGCAAATAAATACCTCTCTTCTTTTCCGTTACAAACCTTCTACCTTTTTTTTGATTATTTATTTTTTACTTATTATATTTGAGAATATTTTAGCGTAAAAATTTGTAATTTTGAGGGCTTCTTGTCTTCAAAAGAGAAGTTTTCTGCTTCTTTTTTATATATGAAATTGAATTACAAAAAGCACTGGGTTTAGTTACTTATATATTACATTTTTTCACCATCTTAGGGGATTGTGCGTGATAACTTTTTAAAATAAAAAAAAGGTGAGGTAAAAGGTGTAGCCCCTCCTCCCCCTCTAAAAAAACAACAACTAAACAAACCGAAAAGAGGGGAAAACTAGAGTTTTGGATTTCTTCAATATTAATCAATAGACCCCAAACATGAGCACCCTTCATAGCAACTCCTCTCATGGGACTCTTTCGTCTCTTCCATCCCTCGGCCCTCTGTCACATCGTTCCGCCGAGCACAACTCCCTTAGCAATTCCTCTTCACGGCGATCCCATCGAGGCTCCGGTCTCGTTGAGGACATCGGAACGCAGTCCGGGAGGGGAAATCCACCCCATCGTGCCAGCGCCCGCAAAACGGATGGCCTCCGCGGCGACCGACCGGAGTCCAAACCCACCAGCGCGAGCAACAAACCGCGAGGGGGCGGGGTCACCCCCCGACGACCCACGCCCCCCACCCACGCCACGACGAGGGCGGCCGAGTCATCGAGGCTTACCCACCCTCCAAAGAGCGCCTCTTCCGTCGAGGAAAGCAATAAGGAAAACATCAACCAACTCGCGAAGATTGAGAGGCGGTATGAGCACATGAAGCCAAGCCCCTTGACGCTGTCTGGCCGACTTACAGTGACATCCGCACGCGGCAGCGCGAGGTGCTCCACGGGGATCCAACCCGCCTCGGCGCGGCAGCTGCACAAAAATTTCCTCTCGAAATTTGAACGGCCGCCGACCGCCAGAAGAACGACAGAGGTGCACGAAATGGGCCCTAGCAGCGTACGGCATCTGCCGATGCCTATCGTCTCCCCGCGCACTGCTTCGGCCTCCGCGAATGGAGAGGCCTTGACAACTTCGAGGGTTATGGATGGGAACACGAGAGAAATGTTCTTTAGGCAGGAATACGTTTTCTTCCCAGAGGATGGAAAGAACGGTGAAAAGGCGAGATCTACACAGTCAATCACACTTACCATCCAACCCAAACAAGCTATGAACCATGTCAAACAAATCTTACCCAAGTATGGTAAATCTAATGGAGAAAACATTCAGAAGACGCCGAGAACTTTAAACCGTTCTGAGAGGAAGGGAGATAGCAACAAGAATAATAGAGATCCTGTGGAGAAGGCAGATTCAAGTACGTCAGATGCAGATGTAGCAGAGGGCGAGCCCAAGGACCTCAAGGCAAGGATTTGCACGACACGAAGGAAACTAGCAAGGGTGGAATCTGACATGAAGCGCTACACAGAAACTTTATATCAACGGGAGACGGAGAAGAACATGAAAGAAAGCATTCTAAAAGAGCTCAAGCAGCAGGTTGAAAATTATGACGAATGTTATTCAACTGCCTGCGCTATGTGCCGTAAGTTTGAGGTCCAGTGTCGTTCCCAGGAAGAGCTAGATGTATTACGTGACATGACTGAGGAGCGTAAAGTACGTTTAGAAAACATTCAGCAGAAATCTGACTCACTCAACTCCCAGTGGAACCAATTGCAACTTTTGCATGAGGAAAATTCACGAGAGAGCGAAGATAATCAAAAAGCAAATAGCGAATCGCCGATGAAAGATATGTGCGACACTGATGAATGCACAGACCGACACAATGACTGTGTTTCTTTGCCATCCCCGACGGCTTCCAAGACCGCACAGGTGCAACGCGAGTTTTCGCTTTTTTCGAACAACACTTGCAACGTCCTTAACCGCTTTCTTAAGGACCTCCTCGCGGAGGTTGAAGAACTGACCAAAACCTGTATCCAGGTTCCCTCGCCCTCAGATTCTTCGCGAGTAAGCCAGGGAAACCGTAACGGACGGAGGTCCTCCATAAAAGGCAGCAATGGCTTTTTTTCCTTCTTTGGGGGTGCGACGGAGCAGCATCTTAGCGCGAAGCCGCTCTCAACCTTCTTGTCAGGTATCAGTCGACTTGAGCGATCTGCGTGGCGAATGGAGGAGGAGGTGCAGCTGCGGGCCCGTGAGCTAGCCAATGTAAGTGAAGAAGAGGAACTACGTGACAAATTTCAGGTGTTTTCCGTTTTGTCTGGGACCAACCTTACATCGCAACACTCCAAGGTTCTGATGACGCCGAACCGCACCGTTAATATTGACCAAGGCTCTGAAACGGAGGGAAAACAAGTTGTAGAATTTTCCACTCCTTTGACCCCGCTTCAAACGAGTAGCCAAAAATTACAGCACCTTCAAAATTCTCCCGAGTTCCTACCCTGCTCTCCAATCCGAGACCGAAACAACGTTGTGGCAGCTGCTCGAGACATTATGGAATCCAACGGTAGCCCATCCCACATAGCACCTAGCATAGGCACAATTTCAATGAAACCACAGGAGTTGTCCTATGTGTACCCCCGTCTACGTGATGCTAGTCATGACATGGATTTTCAACAGCTGCAGATTCGCGTGGATTACGAGAAGGAAGTCGAAAAACAGCGAAGCAAAGTACGATTGATGGCAAAAAAGCTCCGAGACGCGTATAGAACACAGATCGAGCCTCTTCTCCGCACACGCATTACTGAGTTAAAGCAGCAGCAGGTACTCATGGCACATGAACTCAGGGATTTAGGAATCGCTGAGGTGCATCTAGAGCGGGAGGGACAGTGGTTTACTACAGAGAACATTGATAGCACTGAGACGTGTGATTACCATGATGAGGGCTTCCACAATCACGATGCGTGTGAGCGTGGGAAATTCAAAGAGTATTCATCGAATGATGTCAACGGCCGCTACTCTTCGGTGCAATCTATGGTCGGCTACATTGACACTTTTTCCCCTCGTCGCGTTCATTCGTCTGCGGCAAGATCCTTTTCCCAACGACAGAAACCGACCAAGTTAGTGAACTGCGTTACGGTGCGCACCCTGCAGTTAGCGGCGGACTTCAGTAAATCACAACGCGGGGATCTCTCCCTTAACACCTCAGTGTGCACCGCGTACGAGTCCAGGAAATCGAAGTGTGAGGCTACCGCAATGAGGCTTCCTTCACGTACCGGTACGCTATCTTCCCGTTCGGAAGGAGGCAGCCACCGGGGTTGCATGACCCCTCTATTCAGTGCCCGTGCCGCCAACGACGTGCCTTTGAATAACATATCGTCCGTCTCCGCGAGGGCTCCAATGCCGGATGACCTTCCCCCTTCCAGCAGTCGAGCCCGACTGTCCACGGGCACCATCTTGGTAGCCACTCCGAGAAAAGAGAACTCGATGTCATCTATCACCGCGAGTGATCCCAAGCGCAGCTTGCAGTCTGTATCCCCCATTACCAAGACATCTCCGTGGCTTAAATGTGGGCGTGGCTCGGTGCTGCTGCGCAGTCCACGAGGTCCCTTAGCAGTATCCACGCCAACCTCCGTAAGGGCGAGCTCCAGGGTTCAGGGCGCTACCGTCGCACCAAAATCTCGCAGCCTCGCTGTGAATCCGGAAGAGAGCACGCGAGATACGGTGTCCTCGATTTTTATTGAGGAGACCCTGGAGCCCCAGCGGCCGACGCCGCACGATGTGCAAACCCACCTCTGGGGTGTCCATCCCGACTACCGCCCCGATCTTCAGCTAGAGCGTGGGGCGGTGAAGGTGACGTTGTTGTTTTACGGCCAGGAAGCTAGACGCCGCCGTGCCTTGGAGGAACGGAATACCGAACTCTCAAAGGGGTTATGGAGTCTTCGAGAAGAGCTAGCTCGCCTAGAGGAGGACGCCTATAACCAGCGTCGGGCGTTAGAGGAACTGGAGGCAAACTACCTGACCGAAAAGGAGAGTCATGCGGCGAGCTTGCTTGAAGCGCAAAATAATTTAAAGGATTCACGGCAGTGTTTCCTTGCGCTTAAACGGGAATACGAAGAATGGGATACCATACGACAGGAACTGAATTCCTTGGTGACATCATAGTCAACAACACACATTTTCAACCGACTAGTCTTAAGACTACTCTACGCTTTGGAGTTGTCACCGGTATGTAATTTTTTTCCATTTGGTTCCTATCATATATGATATTCATGAGTTTCTACAATTTTAACTATACTACTCTATATAAAGTGTTATTTTCAAGGATAGAACAATTCATTCCTCGCTTCTGTTTATTTATTTTTGCATGATTTGGACCTATCCATTATAGAGTGAAATAGGATTCTAAAATTGGACCCGTTATTTACCATCTTAAACTGTGTCAAATGATACTTAAGCAAAGGGCTGTTCTGTTGAACTTAAATAAGTGTTCTTATTATTATTATTATTCGGAAGAGGGATACGTTTGTACATGTATGCCTTTTGTATTAATTTTTTCTATTGTGATTGTATCAAGGTAAAGGGTTGTGTACGATAGAACTGTTCATTAGTGTATCCATCCTCTTCCTCACAACAACTAACGTGACCATTTTGTGCAAACGCATCATCACTGCAATACTTTGGAAGGAAATACCATCCTTGAAGAATTTCTCTTTCATCGTTTTTCGATCTAGAATGCATCTGGGGTTCAAGAGAACATACATTTTTTTCCCCTCGATAATTGTATGTATAAATGTAATTGTGCAATAAAATTAAAGAAAAAATATTTCTGTTCTCCTCGATCATTGTGAAAGATAAAGAGAAAGAGAATAAACTCTTGTTTGAAGAAATTCTCTTCGTTCATTAATGTTGCTTATCTGTCAATGAGCCTCTTGTAGAGTCACTTTTTGGGGGCAAACGGAAAATTTCATTATAGTGATGACAATAAGTCTTGAATATATTAGCTCTTGTTAATAAAATAATGAAAGAAACCCTTTTATTGTATATAATTCATCAAGAGGAGTGCTTGCATTCTTTCCCCCACACTTTATACTGATATTCACTTTTATTGCGTTATGGACTAATTAGAGATTACAAAGCGAGGAGACATGAAAAAAGAATAAGCGCACATGTTTGACAGCGCTTCTTTTAAATACCGAAAAATGCTATTTTCTTTCCTCTATTAAATGCGGTTAAATAACGTTTTTATGTTAGCCTTGTGTTTACTAACGAGCGCATTCTTATCATTTTACATTACCATAAAAAGTGTATATAAGAAAGCAAATATTAAGCGTAAACAACTCATTGGCGATGCCCAATAACGCAACCACATGGCCGAATAGTTTATGTTACGCTAAGGATGTCGACCCCACGGCTTTACATGAACTTGGTGAATATTCATCTCACACATGTGATCCACATGATGACATACAAATCAAAAAAGGGAATGCCATTGGCACTGGTCGGTCAATCATGAACAGGAGGCCATACGCATCTCAAATAGAAGGAAGCCATGGAAAAGAGCGGTCCCACCTTCTTCATGAGTTTGAAGAAGCTAAAAAGGCCACACGGCGAGTTGATCACGATGGGGGAAGGTCAATGTCGACTGCTTATCATCCGTGCGACTATATGCAATGGGATGCTGACACGCTGCCAATAAATATTTCATCCTCCGCGTATAAGGCGACTCTGCGTACAGTAAAGAAAAACTTTCCAGCCTGGCAACATGAAGTCGCACTCTCTGGGGAGATTCTTCTGAAGAAGATCAATACCAAAGAGAAACGTCACGCTTTAATCGAGGTTGCTAAGGATTTTGGTTTCAATTCTTCGAATCCAAGGGCTACAACGTGTAGTTTTGTATATGTTAAATACACAAATCAAGTGTTTATGCGTGCCACAGGAGAAAAGATACCTTATCTCGATCATGAACTCGTGTGCAGCATGCAGCATCTTGAGGAACAGCACCAAGCGTACCTGGAGTTGAAGTATAAACAGGAAGAAAAAGGAGGGAACATAGAAAATGAACCTCAGGGTGGGGGTCCGAAGTGTGCATCTTCTGGTGCAAAATTCAGTGAGGGTGATAATAAAGAACACGTGGCAAATGTGAACAGTGGCAGAATAAAACAACAGCAACCTGCTTTTATAGAAAAAGGTCCCAACTACAAGAAGGCTTCCTCTGTGCCGCAGCCGTATATATTACGATGGTGGTTTGTTGACCGATACGTCCATCGGGATGTGTTGGAAATATTACGCTTGTTGGCATGTGAAATTGGAGTCTTTCGCGGCGAGCCGACATTATCGTTTGAGCAACTACAGCGGTATGACCCCGATGCGGCAAGGAAACTCGAGAATCCAATGATCTTTCGCGTGGAAGTCGCACTGGAATACCAGCCGAGGTGGGAAGTGGAACTGGCGACGTTACTGAAAGAGGAACCCGGTTCCACGCGGGATCCGTACCCCATCTCCTACGTCCGCCGCGATAACTTCGCGATGAGGCAGTACCAACGTCATCTGAGGCCATTTTTTTATGATTGGAGACCCGTTATAACACGTTGTCTCGTGGATCTCTTTCAGGGGCGTGATTTCCGTGCCAACATGACCCCCTCCAATGTCACCACCATGGGGACCGCATTCTTCCTTCGTCATGAGATCGATACGAAGGGGCAGGTGTTCTATCGCCGCTGGGTGCGGCACTCCTTGGATCTTTTTGGTTATTTCGGGACTTCGTTACGCAGGCAGGATGCCCGAAATGTACGGGAAACACTGATTCGGCTTTATCGCGAGCATTACAATCATACTGGGGGTGTAAATCATGCAAATGGCTGGGCAAATCATGAGGCGATGCTGGAGCTTCTCAAACAAGCTAAAAATTCTACACCGCACTTTGGAGCGCTAAATCTTTGCATTGAGTTCCATTTCTTTAAGAAGGACTTGTCAGAGCTGCAGAAGTTCTCGGCTCGGTATGGCTACTTCCTTTACATTCGCCGCGATGAAGGTATGGTCTACGTGGCCGCCACCGCACGCGACCTGCCAGTCCTGCCACCACAGCGTTTTGAGTTATTTTTCTTGCCGAACGGAGTGTACGTCGGGCCACCATCCTTTCAGACCTGTGTTGATATGCACTTAGGGGTGACAGAAGGGGCCCCGACGCCCGTTCCGCCCTCACTCATCTCCCTTCTGGAGGAGGAAATGCAGTTGACGAATAAACGGCAACAACGACCCAACGCCCGCCGCGGTGGGACTCGATCGCACCACCCGTCGTCATCGTCGGACTCAGAAGGGAAGGAGGGACGGCGTCGCCGGCGGGCGAACCGTCGTGGCGGCAGCCGGTCCTCCTCCGCGAGTTCGGCATCCGCCTCCTGCACCTCCTCAGCGTCCTCGCGCCGTGGACGGCGGCGGCGGCGGCGGTTGTCCCCGTCTTCCTCTTATTCGTCGTCGTCGTCGTCGCGGGGGCAATCCCCTCCGCGGGGGTCGCCGAACGGGACGGAACGGCCCCCAGACGCGGCGGCCCAGCCACCCTCCCCGCGGGCGCCTCAACGGCTCTACGCTTGGCCCCGTTCGCTGCCCGCGAGCTCTCTTTACGACGTGATGGTGGGGGCCGGCCAGCGCCTGAGCCACCCGCCTGGCTGCACGATCGAGTCCCACCTCGTGTCGTGGGAAGGCGGCCACACGTCCAGCCCGCCAAGGGTCCTCCACTTCGCCCTTAACCACCTCACGAGGGAGGCACACATTATCGGAGGCTGATAAAAGGAAAGGAGGGGGGGAGGGGGAAGAGTGGAGCTGTGACAGGGATATGAGGGCCCTGTTGCTCTCTGTAACAGAAGGTATGCGAGGGGGAGTTAGGGAGCAATGGTGTGACGCTTATGCCGTCCGACAGGACAACTAAATGTGGCGGTGTGAAGGGTATGGAGTTTAAGTATGGCGAATACATTAGTAATTATGGATAATATAGATATAACTAATAAGTAACAGTGTTGTTGAGATCAGGCCTCGGGTGTGAGGGCAATACAAGGGGAGTGAGGGAGACATGCTTTAACAACAGGTGTCAAATCTCGTTCTTGTGAGCAAAAAAAAATAAAAGTAAAATAAAGTCTAGGTCAGGTTGCTTTACTGGTGTTTGTGCTTGGAAAATTTACTCCAGGAAGAAACTTATTTTCTTCCGGTAAAGAATCGGGTCATAAGCTTGTGTATTGATTACACCCAGCTAGTATCTCTCTTGGGCGCTCTGGTAAGAAGTCGGCGATTTATACCGCAAATCTCCTTCTAGAATAATCAAATGTCGAATGTCTCTTTTGAATCCTGTAAGGGTCTCAATTTCATTTCCTCTGTAAACGGTGAAACATTAAAGGAATTTCCTCTTGAAATCTGCAGTCTTTTGAAGAAAATATCATATTTCAGCACTCATAGGTATGGAAATGGTGTAACAAATCCCAACATCTAGATATTTATCAAGGAAGGATAAAGATTAAAATCGTCATCGATAAATACTTCATGTATGTCTAAATCAGTGCTTTATTGAATTTCACTCTATTTCACGCTCACAAACACCAAACACAGACACATACACCGACAAAAAATATATATTGAGTTCAAAGTATACTTTTGCTTTTCTCCTTAAGAGTGAATTCCTATGAAATGTCCTAGAAGTTGTAGCTTTTTCCTTCTTTGTGAAAGACAGAAAAAAAAACATCGTCAGGTTGAGCAAAAATTGCTGCTCTGCGGCAGACAGGATTCGATGTTTCATAATTCTCTGGTTGATAATGTCGGGTTTAAAATAATCCTGTGATAACACTGAAAATGTTCAGTAAATCATCTGGACCCCGAGTAGGCCTCACACCTCTTCGAATGCTAGCTTTGATCGTGTGCGTGTGTGTTTAACTAACAAACATGTTGGGTCTAATGCATTGTTTGCGTTTTTTTTTAACTATCTTATGTTCTTACTGTTTTAGAAATTTTTTGAAATTATAAAATTTACAAAAATCCTTCCCCCCCCCTTTCAACTTCCGTTTCACTATTTGTTCGACCATTACGATAATAAAATTTTATGGTGAATTTTATTAAATCGTAAGATATATTATAAATGATCTCAATAAATTTGAGCGGAAGTATCGCTAAATGTGATTCTTATGTATACTTTTCTTCTACGCATAAATTGAAGTAATGTTTACAGAAATACGACTTATTTTCTATATATTTATTTGAAGGCACATTTTTGAAAAGAAGCTTAAATATGGGTAAGGCACCTCCGAAATGGTTACCAGGGGAACGGGTGAAGGAGACAATTTTGCTGCAGCGCAAGTCTGTAGAACAACTTAGGGCTGACCGCGTGCTACGTCGGGATAAACTTAAGGCGCAGCGCGAGCGTCGAAAGGCCAAAATCGACACCAAACGCAAGAAAAAGTTAACCACAAAAAAGTTTATTTCTGCACAGACTATTTTAAAAAGTGCCCAACGCAAAGAGCGTCAAGGTAAGCAGTTCCGGAAGATTGGGGAAAAGGTCAAAGGCCGTGAAAAGCGGTCTGACAAAAAGCGCTTCCAGACCTATCTTAACGACAGTAGGGTAGTACTCCTTGTGCGGGCAAAGGGGAGCCAGATTCCACCCGAAGTGACGGCAGCCTTCCACTCAATTGGGCTCCAAAAGCTATACGCCGCGCGGCTGATGTACGCTGGTAACCCTCACACACATAAACTTATCAAGCAGCTTCAGCCCTTCTGCATCTTTGGCCACCCCGATCGAGAGCAACTCGATGCCCTTCTCCGCACCCGCGGATGCATCTACAACCCGGAAACCAAAACGAGGCGGTTCATTAGTAGCAACCTTTTGATTGAACGCGCACTTGGGGCCTATGGAGTTTTATGTATAGAGGATATCATAGATACGATTGCAAACCGCACGGAGTCCACCGCGGAGGTGCTTAAGCGCATTGGGCCCTTCGACTTCCACCCACCCCGGCAGCTCTTCCTCGAACGTCACCGTTCTGTGCATCAGAAACTGGAGGTACTTAATAAAGATTCCTTCGCTGCGTATTTGGCGAATGAGCTTCGGGGTACCGCAAAGCGCGAGCGAAAGCGCTCCGCTAGTGCTCTTCCTGTAGTGGAAACCAAAAAGGCAGAGGGTAGTGGTGGTTCCTTGAAGCGCAAGCGGATCGAGCGCTAAATACGATACAATATATGGATCGTTGTTATAGGAAGGGGTTCATTTGAGAAGCATAGAGCATTCTAATCATCTTCAATCGGCTTACTCAGTCTTTCTTGAATTTTGGCTTCTCGAGGTAAATTAAGGGTTTTTTCTTTGCGAGAGGGAAACAGTGCGGATGGAGTAAGAAATCCATTTTGGTGTGTGTGTGTTTTATTGGAAAGTCCTCTTTAGAGGATATAGAAAAGGTGCATTATATTTTAAAAATTAATCGAATAAAGATAATACAGAGGTAGATTAACTCTTCCCTTCAATCCTTAATAATAATCTCTAATTCTGTGTATATTTTTATTTCTAGGAAATGTGTGGCAGAAGAGTAGAAACGAAGGTTTCCTAAGGGTGGATGCAGCAGCTGTTTTTGCTTTCTCTTGTTTTAAAATTAATCATCATGAATTCATATAATAAAAGCACCTATAATATATATATGCGCCACATTAGTCACGGTCTCTCAAAGCCACCTAGAGTATCTTTGTCCTCAGTTATTTTGATTTCCTCATTCTTTTTCCCCCACTCCACTTTTTCCTTTACACTTGGTTGTTAGTTTATCCGTCGGTACTTACTCTTTTACCTTAAAGAGATTTTCTCACCCGAACAGGCACACTCTAATAAATAATAGTTAAGCAACAACAACAACCAAATAGCAGTCACCCCAAAGAAAAGGAAAAAAAGGCATCTAAGCCAGTTACATTTCTTTCTGTGTGTGTGTGTGTGTCCATCCATACCCCCAAACGTTTCTTGAGTACAGAAAACCCATGTCCGCGAACCCCGCCCAGCCACGGTTTGGCTGTTACATCGGTAACATCGACCGCTCCGTGACGCTGGAGATGCTCAAGCAGGTGTTCTGCCAGTGCGGTACCATCATCGACTGCTCCCTCAACGGCCGCGAGGAGGACCCTTACCGATACGGTTTCATTGACTTCGCCACCGAGGACGACCGCGCACGGGCGATGAAGTACAACGGCTACACCCTCGTCGGCCGAAAGCTGAAGGTGGGCGTGAGCAAAGGCAATGTGAATAAGCCGGAGGGGTATAACAATACTAATACTAATAATAGTACAACTAATCGGGGAGGGGTGAATCTAGGAGGCACCGGGGTGGGAACCGGCAGGGTGGGGGTAGGAATGAACACGGCTGGAGCAGGCGGTAGCGGGATCGGAGCGGGGATCGGCACTGCTCCGAGCGCGCTACAAACGGGTGCGGCTGCGGGCGGAAATGCTGCTTCCGGCGGTGGCCTTGCTCCTGCGCAACAAATGGAGGCGCAGCTGTTGCTCCAGCTCATCCAGCAGGGCTCGTTGGATACCGCAAACCTGACGGAATCGCAGCGCGCGCTGCTGCTGGCGGTGCTGCCGAACACCGGTGCAGCGGTTGGTGCTGCCGCTGCCGCTGCAGCGATCCCGATGCAGCCGATGAATCTTCTCCAGCCCCCGCTCTTCGGCGCGCCGATGTGGGGGGCGATGATGGGAATGCCGTCGCAGGGGATGATGCCTATGAATCCAGCGATGATGGCGGCAGGGCGAAGTGGCAACGCGGCAGGCTTTCACCGAGGCCCTGCGAACCCATCGCCTTCGGAGGAGACGCTAAAACTTCGCGAGATTCAGCGGAAGCAGTTCCTCAAAGTCATTCGTGAGGAAACCGAGGCGTATGAGAAGAAGCTGCAGGAGCGGAGTGCGAAGGAAGGGCGGCTGTCTGGTGGCAGCGATGACGGCGAGGGCAGCAGCGGCTCGGAAAGCGACAGCGGGAAGCCGTTGAAACGGAGGAGAGCCGATAAATCAGGAGGTGGAATTAGCGATGAAGGTGGTGAGGATGAGGCTGAGACATCACGTAAAGATTAAAGGATGTGCAGGCTTATTTTATCTTAACTTATTTGCCTTTATTTTTATTTATTTATTCTTGTTGTAGGTGCAAATGTCCATTATTTTGGTTCACTTCTTCATTCCTCTGTCTACAGTTTTCAGCTCATCACTATTAGTTGAGAAATGTTAGAAGGCGAGATAGAAAATTCTGAAATGCTGCTAAAGTGTTTCTTTTTTTTTTATGATTATTATTAATACTATGAGGTTATTGTAACATATGCAAGAAATGAATATGTATTGGTTCTGTATATGAATAGACGAATTAAATAGAATTGGTGAATGGTAATGTTAGGTTCGAGACAAGCTCTTTACCACAGAATAAATCGAGACGCAGCTAAGATAGTAGACTGATCGTACGGAAATGGTTTGTAGTCTTCAAAAGGATAGATATATTAACAACAAGGTAAATTGTGTAGAAACGCTTGTTAATTCTTCAGACAGAACATAAGTACATAAACCCAATTGCGCGCCCATAAAGGGTGCACAGACAGGGTGCGCTGTTTTATGATAACATGCGTCTCAAAATTAAATTTGATGATCATAAACTATCAGAATAATTCATATTCTATCCTCTTAGAGTTTATGATTCAGTAATTATCAGATAAATCATTTATTATTTCTGTTCCTTGCGGTAAATAACTTTCTACATCATGGAAATGTTAGGAAGATATAGGAACCGCATGTTTGATAGCATGTAAAAGTGTTATCGCATTAAGAATGCCATTCAATGCTTAGATGAATCACCATATGAAACTTTTCACAAAATCATCGTTTATTTATTACTTAAATTCAATAATAATATTACGACTAAAGATTACGAAGCGCTTGCTGATAATCTCAGGTGAACACTAATCCTAATCCAATATAAATACACTTATACACAACACTACAAGCTTATTCATCTTGACCGTACAATAATGGCTAAAGTTGGTGAAGGCGACCCTCGTTGGATCGTTGATGAACGCAAAGACGGCGCTAACGTCAATGCGTGGCATTGGGAAGAACGCGACCTCTCCGCGTACGTGCATGATAAGCTCAAAAAGGCCTTTCTTTCTCTTAAATTTCTTGAAAACCAAGATGGGGTGGTGTACGCGCAGATTGACAATGTCAGTGAAATCCTCGGTGATGTGACGGTGGCTCAGCGGAAAGGTAAGATGATGTGTTATTTCGAGTTGAAGATGACTTTACAGTGGTCTGGTAAGACTTCTACAGGGGATGATGTAGTCAAGGGCAAGCTAGAGGTTACTGAGGTTGACCACGACGAGTTAATGAATGACTTCAATATCGATGTGACCTGCCAGGAGAAGGGCAAAGCCGCGGAGATGATCGAAAACGTCGCGCGCATCGCCGGCCGTTCGAAAGTTCGCGAGGAGATCAGAAAGTTTTTCGACACTTTATACGAGGAATACCATATTGGCAAGATGCTGAAGAACAATACGGTGATGCCGCCACTCCCTGTTGTTCAGGCGCCAACGCCGCCGTTCGCAAAGGGCGGTGACGAACCGGCCCCTGCAGAGGTTTCCGAGAGCAATATACACAGCAAACCAATTGAGAGTCTATTGGAGTGGAAGATGCGCTGGCGGGTCCCGATCGAGCAACTCTTCCACCTTCTTGTGGACGAGCGGACCTCGAGTTTGTACACCCGAAGCCCGGCCCAGGTGGACGCGAAGACGGGAGGCCAATTCCACTACCTTGGTGGGGTCATCTCCGGTTATTTTGTGAACCTGCAGCCGCCGATGGTGATATCGGAGCAATGGCGGTTGAATAGCTGGCCGGTCGGAGTCCACAGCTCCGTCGTGATGCGGTTGGTGAAGGAGGAGCCCGGGGTGACCATTTTGGAGTTCGCACAGCTCGGGATCCCGAGCGGGGAGATGCAGAACGTCAAGATGGGGTGGCGGGTTAACTTTTTCGATGCCATACGGACATTCTGCGGGGTTTCAATGGAGTATATTTAACCACCCTTCGAATATTCTCACCGATTCACACCCCCTCCCCATCCCCCTCCCCTCGTGAGGTTTGACAAATTGCCTATTATTAATATTATAAAGATTATTATTATTATTATTATGGATTTGCAGTTCCACTGTGGAGATGTAATAACAACTCTTTTGTAAAGTGACTAAATAAATGAAGTTGCAATGATAAACAAACAGATCTCAAATGATAAACGATCTAAAATACATATTATTTCTACATATATTAGTGAATGACAGCTCACGCTCAATCTTTGACCAATCACGTTTCTATATTTACATTAACATGACCCTGGGCACTCTTCATATATATATTATGTACTTCTTTATTATAATGATCTGCAGGTTTATCTGGTCGAAATGTAATGGGGTACTTGTCGAAGCATAGGAATGCATCTAATTTTAAAATCGGCATGAGCTCCAAATATCCTATGATTTTTTTTCAAAACAATTTATTGCCCTAAATTCAGCTAAGGTGTGGTTTATTAAGCACAATAAACCCTCTTTTCAATATCACATTCAGCTCTTCCTACAATTTTGCCAATAGGGGAATGTGCTCCTAATTATTCGACCTTTCCTTTGACGTATTTCTTCTCGTAGTATGATATAATTACTCATAATGGAAACGACGTTTCCAGATTTTCTCTTTTCAATATAGCGCTTTGACAACACCAAGCATCACGCCACTGGAAGGTGGCAACAAAAAGATAAATTGTTTGAAGCACCATCGTCTACCAGCGGCGATTCAAAGTAATTGGTTCTATAGCTGATTTTTTTTTCTGTGAATATCGACTTCCAAGAGTTGGAAATGGACAGCGTTCAATTGGGATGGCTCAAGATTATTCCAATGGAAAGGAAAAAAGGTCTTTAATTAATAGGGTACAAACTGTGAGTGGGGATAGCTATGCGTTTAGGGACCGGACGCAGGTTAATACAAAGTGGGGTGTTGAAGTTACCCTCTGACTTCAACTCGATACAGATCTATTAATTATTATTGGTATCTGCAATAAATAATATTTTGTTAATTTAAATATTATAATCACTCTAATTTGGCCTTCTATTGAACCTCACATTATGCATGGTGCAGATGCCATGTTTTATCAAAATAATAATAGTAGTAAATATCAGGCATCTTTTGCAAATGATGGTGCCTTGTGCGGTATGTTTATCGCAATTGCTCTTTTAACAATACATTGAAGTTGCTTTTGTGGGTATCATAGTATTATATATATTTACATATATCATAAAGAAAACTTCAATTATCAATGACATTCCTTTTTCACTCCTATTTCATCAGAAGTCCCTTTTGATGAGTATTATAATTGCCCGAACTAAATGAGTTGTCATTTTTTTCTGATTTCTGTGTGCGTAAAAAATCAATTCATTGTAAACGTCATTTATTGAATTATAGCAACAAAACTTCATAATATACAGACACAAGATGTGGTTGTTCCTTTTATTTAATAGAACTATTGATTTTTCTGTTCAATTTTAATCAAGAAATGATATTTCTCAAGAAAGGAATTCTTTAATTTTCTTTTTTTTTCCCACAAACATAAATATCCTATTTTGATTTTCCCCTCAGTTGTATACCAGTACATTTCACATTCTGTATTGGTGTAGTCCCCTGATTACGTAAAAGGGTGCCAAAACATTGTTCCAACTTGAAGAAAGGAACACCATTCACATATGACAAAAGATAAACAATATATATAGGAATTACTTCTTAAATTCTTCCACGATCCATCTTAACCCCTTTAGTAAGTTACCAACATTTCGAACAGAGACAATCGTGAGTTTCCTTTGAGATGCCAGCCTTAATTTGGCTAGGCCGCCGTTGGCGTATTGCGGCAGATGATTTCTTCATCCCAAGCTTATGGTCTTCCCTGGTTTTATTATTTACGTGGGTCCTTTTATTTGTATACCCCAAATTCTACAACTGCGTGGACATCTCATTTCAGGGCGACGCCCCCTATGGATGGGACTGCAAGAGGGTTACTACCGCGCTTAAAACATTCATCTATCTGTTATTAATTATTATTCCCCTGTTGGCGTTTTTTTTCCTCCTGACGGGTTTAGTAAGCCTGCGCGGGTCGATTTTCGAGGTGTCCAAACGACGCTTTATTTACATCCTTCTCTATATCGATTCCCTCGGGGTTGGCGCGATGCTTGTGGTGATTATACTTTGTTTTAAATACATCCTCTACGACAAAGGGCTAGATCCGATGATGAATGGGGCGAAGCTGGTGGTTTTGTTTTCCCTGAGTTTGGATCTTTTCCTGGTTTTTGCCTACCTCGCCTTTTTCTTCGTTGCTTTTGATTCGTGGGGACGGCGGACGTACGGGAGCTTTGAAGAGTATGAGCGGGCCTGGGCCAAACGGCTGTCCTGCCTGTGTGGCTGTCTGATCCCATGCCGGGAAAAAGGCATGCGCTACGAGGCGGTGGCGCGGACCTTCGCGCAGGCCTTTGGGGCCTACGACATCGTCCCGAGTGACATCGCGGCAGGGCTGGTGCTTCTGCACAACCAGCAAAAACACTCCAGGCGTGTGGCCTTCCGGCCCCTTTCTTACCCTTCGGCGGGGGATGGCTGGACGGAGACGGTCTCCTACAAGGCGCGCGCGGTCCCCAAGCTCACGGCGGCCCAACGCGAGGCCCTTCGCGAGCTCAACGACTACCATCCCTACTTCCAGGCCATCCTGGGCTGGTGCTACTACGGCCGGAAGGACTGCGGGGTGGGCCTGTGCCAGCTGTGGGCGCGGGACTGCTGTTGCTGCTGTCACACCCCCGCGGCGCGCTACTACGGGGTGCGGTCCAACTGCGACTACATGGTCCTCCACGCGATCTCGCATCTCACCGAGGAGGACATCCTGCTGGCGAACTGGACGAACGGGCCGTTTCAGCCGGTCCATTACGTCGCCTACGACGCGGGGCAGCACGCCGTCCTCATCGCCATCCGAGGGACGATGTCGATCGCGGACGTGGTTACCGACCTCACCGCCGACCCCTGCACCCTCGCCCTGGCGGACGCGCCCCTCCCGGCCTCCGAGTATTACGTCCACGAGGGGATGATGAAGGGGGCGGAGTTTATTTATGAATTTCTCGAGGATCGAGGGGTTTTGGAAGCGATCGAATACGGACGTTACGCCGACGCGAAGATTCGCGTCCTCGGCCACTCCCTCGGCGCCGGTGTCGCGCTGTTGTTGACAGTGGTGCTGTGGTCGCGGCGGCGGGGGCTGCGGGGGCGGCTGCGCGGCCTCGCCTACGCCCCGCCCGGGGGGCTCATGTCGGCCGCTGTGGGAGCTTATTGCCGGGAATTCACCCTCGGATGCTTTCTCGGCGCCGATCTTGTCCCGCGGCTTGCGCCGCACACCTTCGAGGCCCTCCGCGAGTCCCTGCTTGACGTCCTCGCCACATGCCGACTGCCCAAAACGCTTGTATGGGTCCCCCTCGCGCGGAGGATGAGGGGGATGGAGGAATTTCACCCGGCCTCGCAGGGGGCCACTGCGGGTGAGAACGTATCGGAGAGTGTCTCCTATCGCGAGGCCCTCCGCACGAGCCTCTGTGCACACGAAAACGATGAGCGAAGACTTTACCCTTGCGAGATCCTCGTGCACCTGCAGAAAGTCGTCGTTCGGACGCATTCACGTGGTGGGCGAATCCATAATGGAAGGCGGCAGAGGAGAAGGGAGGTTATTTATATCCCACACTTTGTGGGGCCCTCGGAGGTGCAGACGCTGTACGTCTCGTCAAGCATGTTCTCCGACCACATGCCCGATCGCCTTTCTGACGTCCTTTCATTAACCACAAAAAGAATGAATGCTGGGCAGTTGGAGCGCTTTTACGTTGATAAGCAGGAGAACGTTCCAGAGGAGTCTATACCGCTGATGTACGCGAATCTCCATCCCAACGGCGCTGTCTGATGACAAAAATTTATGGGACATGCTATTTTGTGTCTGTGTGTGTGTGTGTGCGGTATTGTCTTTTTTCATAGAAATGAAAAGTGTTGGATAGATATTGATACATAGATTACTGTACGCCTGCGTCAACATTTTTTTAAAAGCTAATATTAGTACACTACCTTCAAAAACTAGTATACTATATTATTCATCGTGTTCATGCGTAGTAAGTGTATTTTAATACTTCTATCCTATCTAATTTTCAATGTTTTTTGCGTAATAATGCCTATAATTTATGTCGCCTATGATATACACAGTATGTTTTTCGTCTTTGCTTGTTAAAGAAAAAATGCTAATAAAAATAGGGATGACATTTGCGAATCAATTGCATTCTGGTTATTGTTAGGTCATGCTCTTTGCATTCCTAAGGTACTTTTTTTTTGAAAGAAATTCCAGGGAATAAAATACGTAACAAAATGGATGTTCCTTTCTCTTGACACTAATGAACTTTAGTATGCTTTGGCAAGTCTTTTTTTTTTCTTCACCCCCTTCTTGGGATATCAAAACACTTGGGATTTTTAGCATACAACCAGTTGTACACTATAAAACTCCTTTTTGTGTGTTTGTTTTCCCTCCATTTTTGACGACAGTTCTAGTTGCCTTTTTCTTAGCCTTTTTGTAAACCGTAGTAGCCTTCCCATATTTTATACACCCAACCCCGCTCTCTTTCCTCCCCTTTACCTTTTTTTTATTATTATTTTACTTGGCACCTCATACGATGAGCACCTTGGAAGCAGAGGACCTAAAAGCCAAAGGAAATTCCTGCTTTCAAGCCGCCAAGTATCAACCTGCAGTGGACTTCTACACACAGGCCATTGAACTCGCGAAGACGCCCACGCTCCTTTGCAATCGCGCATTTGCCTATATAAAGCTTGAACTCCCCGGTGCCGCCCTATCAGACGCCGATGAGGCCATTCTGCTTGAGCCTGGCTTCCCGAAAGCGCACTACCGCAAAGCCTCCGCGCATCTTTTCCTGGGGAAATACAAAGATGCCCTGAAGGATTTAACCTTACTTCTGAAGTTGGTACCTACCGATAAGGATGCAAAGACGAAGTATGATTTATGTGAGAAGGAGATCAAACGGATTAAGTTTGAAAACGCGATTAAATCGAAAGAAGCGCTGCCGATTTCGTGCACAATTAAGATGGGTGAGATTCCAGAAAGCTACAAGGGGCCTCGAATTGTGCAGGATACCATTACGACCGAGTTCGTGGAGGCAGCGAAGGAGTATTTTAGAGAGCAGAATGTTATTCACCGCCGTGATGTCATTTTTATTCTCTTGGAGGTGCTTAATTTCTTTAAAACACAGCCTAACGTTGTTTCGATTAGCGTGCCGCATGGGGAAGAAATTACCGTCTGTGGGGATACACACGGGCAGTTCTATGATTTACTTAACATATTCAAGATCAACGGCAATCCTTCGCTCACAAATCGATATCTGTTTAACGGTGATTTCGTTGACCGCGGTTCGTACTCGGTCGAGAATGTCTTGACGTTGCTTATTTATAAACTGCTCTACCCGGAGCACGTTTATCTCGCCCGTGGTAACCACGAAGGGATCGCGATGAATCGCGTCTATGGTTTTGAGGGAGAGGTCCGCTCAAAGTACTCGCCGGATGTTTTTGATTTGTTTACCGAGATCTTCAACGCTCTCCCGATTGCGCACGTGATTAATAACGAGGTTTTCGTTGTCCATGGGGGCCTGTACTCCGACGATAACGTGACCATTTCAGATTTGCAGAAACCAAACCGTTTTCGCGATATCCCGGAAAGCGGATTGTTGTGTGAAAGTCTTTGGGCCGATCCCCAGCCGATGCCTGGGCGGTCGCCGAGCAAACGCGGGATCGATTGCCCCTCCTTCGGGCCGGACGTTACGAAGAAATTCCTCGAGAATAATAATTTTAAGTTCCTCGTGCGCTCGCATGAAGTGAAGGATGATGGCTATGTTGTAGAACATAATGGAAAGTGTATTACAGTGTTTAGCGCGCCTAATTACTGCGATCAGATCGGGAATAAAGGCGCTTATGTGCGGTTCAAGGCAGGTGAGATGGAGCCAAAGTTTACGACCTTCACGCATGTTAAGCATCCTGGAGTGCGCCCGATGCGTTATTCATCCGGATTAGGGATTTTTTGAGTATTCTTTTTGTGGGGTATTCTGGTCGTTATTATTTGTAGGCGGAATCAGGCGTTTTTCAATATTGGCTTCATTGAGGTTGATGGGGTTGTGTAAAGTGTTTGCCACCACCATCACTACCTTCTTATTCTGTCATTTCAAGTGGTTTCACACAGCTTAATAATAATCATAATAATGAAATACGTTCTGGTTGTTAATGACTCAATTTCCCCTTCTCTAGTATTTAGAAAGAGAAGGGGTATGTGGAGGTTATTAATCGGAATGTATACATTCCCTGCATTCCCTAAATTCATAGATGTGCAGGGAGATGCGCATCATTTGTGGGTGTTACCTCATTAGAATAACTATTTCTAAAATGAAACTCAGCTTAGAGGATATAATCCTTCTTAAAGAGGGCATCTTTACAGTGCATAGCTAATGTATGTTTTGAACTTACAATAAAAACAACAAACAAACAAGGAGTTATCCATAAGTATTACATCTTTAATTCTTTTCCCCTTGATTTTCTTTTATATAAAAAAATATCCTTCTTTAAATTAATTTTACGTAATCAAAATGCAAGTTGTTTGGAATCTTAACTTCATTTATATTTCGTCATTTTCTACGCAACCGCTATATACTCGTACCAGTAACCATAGCCTTTTTTTGTTTACATCCTGGCCTCCTCACCATAGGGGAGGAGTGGTCTGTGCTCAGATCGAACAAATCTTGTTTATTTTTTTTAGGTAGGATAAAGAAATAAAGCCTTTCCATTTTTGCAATCAATAGCCAACATCATTTCTTTAGTACTTTATATATATATATACATATATATTTTTCTATCGTACATCTGCTTCAAGAAACATACACACCAAAAAACAACAACCATCCCCTCCCCCCCAAAAAAAGCCAAACACCCACCGTCGCATGTCTTTTCCCTTTCCGACCTCCTTCCCGTTTCGATGCCGATGGTGTCTTGGGCTCTGCGTCCTGTCACTGATGCTGGTCCTTGT